GAAGAACCCCATAAAACATCCGAGCCTCCCACTTTCCTTGCCCCACATAAAACTGCCATATCCTTCCCTTCGCCATCCCATCCCAGCACTCCAACAAGTCACCTGCAGCACCACCCTTCTTCCATAAGCCCTCCCACAACCTCCCAAACTCCACCCACTTCTCCTCAACCCCAAGAAGCCTCACATTCAATTTCCAATAACCCTGGTACTGCTTAGGCAACCTGTCCCAAATCCACCGTACTCACCTGCACCACTTGCACACTCCTCGTCACATACATCCTATCAAGCCGAGCAGCATAACTTCTCCTGATGAACGTATGTTTGACCTCCCACGCCCAAGCCCCTATTACATCCCCTAAACCCACACCCCACATATCACTCAGGCCTGCTGAACAATACCCTGCCGCTCACAGCTTCATGTTCTTCCTATGCATCACAGAATTCCAATCGCCCCCACGACGGCAACGGGAGGGGGGATGGGGTGGAGTGACCTAACATAGTAAACCAAAACATCACGCACAAAAGAGGCCTGAGCTTGCTACCATCTGCAGCTCATAAGACTGCCATCCCCACGAGCCCCTTTGAGGCGGGGTAGATGGCAGACCAGAGGCCTAGCTTCTCCCTACGAGCCCCGTGAGGGCGGGGAATGTGGCTAGGCCTGGGGACACTTGGTCCCAAAGATGAGGAGGTACTTTTACCTTCTCCCATGGGAGACTTAAGTCTCGAGACACTCCCCAGATAGGGAGCCAAGGCCGGGTCACCACCACTTGGAAAAGACCCGGGCCGGGAGAATACCGGCGAATAAAAAAAAAAAAAAAAAAAAAATCACGCACAAACTCGCCCTTCACCCTCACATCACTCTCCACAGGAGCTTACATACACACCATTGCCACACGCTCACCCATCCACCACCCATCCATCAGTAAGACATACCCCTCCCCCCTTTACACCTAAGAACAACAAACAGGTTCACCTCAAGAAGCAGGACACCAACCCCACCCTTCAAGTGATCTGAATGTGCCACAAACACTCTATACCCTTCCACCTCAAACACACACCCAGTGCTCCTGCACAAAAAACCACATCCACTCTGTAGCGTCTTAAAAGCCCCTGAAACCACATTCTCTCTACAATGTCCGCCCCCTCTGCCCCGGTGCACCTTTCATAGAACCACTATATGCATGCTGGCCCCTGCTACCACGCTCTCCACTCACAGCTTGGGACCCTCCCAGAACCGCCACTGAACCTTGGAGATAAGGAGATCCTCCATGCACCACATCCTCCCCCGTCTTCTTCCCCAACCTCTGCGCCGAGGCCAATACGTCATCAGAATCCAATTGCCCTCTTGCACGTGACACAATCCTCTCCCATGTCAACCTCCTGAGATGCCTCATAGGGTATCTCCACTTCCACCACAATCATGTCTTTCAGACCAGATTTCCCAACAACCTGGGCCGCCAGACTCCGTCCTCGGCTAACCACCTTCCTCGCTTCTTCCACCACATCTGGCATTTCACACAGCTCATTCAACACTGTCGCCAATGTCTTCTCCACCACCCTTGCTGCTCCACTTGTCATGTCTGCCCCACGCTCTGAAGGTGAATACACAGGGCCATCATCCTGAAGGAGAGGCAAGCATTGCCCCTCTGGATGCAACGCCCTCTCTACTTCCTCACTCCACGAGTTTCCACTTCCACGTGCTTCCATCATGGAAACATCACTCGCCTCTGGCTCTGACGCCTGTGCTGTATCACGACTCACGTTCTGCGGCCGAACTGGCGTCCACATTGGGCTGCAATGTGATCATAAGCACTACACAGCCGACAAGTCCGATGCTGCCCTACGTAAGACACCATAACTTGAGTTGGGAATTCCTCCAGGATCACATAGGACGGTATAGGGTGCCTTAACAACATCTTCAGCGTAAATGTGCCCACCGGAAGTCCAGCGTATGCCCCCTCCACCCATTTACCAACAGTTGCCAAGTGTACCGTTCCATACTGATCAAAGATGGTCAGCAAATCGGTTTCATCCATCTCGAACGGCATGTTTCATACCTTTACCCAGGTGTAGTGCCTGGAGACATCAATCAGGCAAACGCTCACCGCTGAGTTAACAAGCTCACAGCTATCCTGGTACTTCTCTACCAGCCGTTCGTAAACCTCTGCTGACCGCAACTTGACAAAGACTCTGTAAGCACCACACCATACAGATCATGATCCGCTATGCCGTAAGTGTCGCGGATTATCGCCGCGACATATATATATATATATATATATATATATATATATATATATATATATATATATATATATATATATATATATATATATATATATATATATATATATATTATATATATATATTATATATACATATATATATATATATATATATATATATATATATATATATATTATATATATATATATATATATATATATATATATATATATATATATATATATATATATATATATTTCATTTATGCTAGTGTAAAAGTTAATAATTTTGTACCAAAAGAACCTTAGAAAACTTACCTAACCTTATTATAACAAGTGAAATTTAATTTAACCTAATGCAGATAACCATATTTTAGATAAGTTTACAATAATTTAATAATAAACAAACGGATTGAAATATATTTTTTTTTCGTTAGGTTCAGAATGATTTTTGCGAAATTACTGCATACACAGTTTTTCACTTGCCTTATTCAGCAAGAAAAACATTATCAAAATCGCAAGTTTTACCTATTCGGCACGATACAAACACATGTGAGTAGTCACGAAAGCGCTTGGAACTTCTCTATTCTCTCACAGTGGTTGTTTTGCATATATATATATATATATATATATATATATATATATATATATATATATATATATATATATATATATATATATATATATATATATATATGCAAAACAACCACTGTGAAAGAATAGATAAATTCCAAGCGCTTTCGTGACTGCTCACATTATCAAGGAACTATGAAAGTAAAGCATCCAAGGAAGGTATATAAGGGGTCTGGCCAACACCTCACTATCAGATCCCACAACAGTTAAACACCTGATGCGCGCCGGCCCAACTGGACAGGTCCTTCGCACAACCCACCAACAAACTATTCTACCCAAGAAAATTTTAAAAATTATTATTTGTCCAGTGTATTATTAAATTCTTCCCAAATTCTATTAATTATAAATGGATCTAATTTATATAAACCAAAGGAAATATTCTTATTATTGTCAAAACTGCTTTTTATGAAACAAGATTCAATTATATTCCTGTCGACCATGGACTTGCTTGATACTACTTTCTCAACCTTTTGAAAATCAAGTGGATGGTTAAAATCTCTTACATGAATAAATAGAGCATTGGAATCTTGTCCAATTCTAATGCTATATTTATGTTGTTTTAATCTTAGTTCGAGATTTTTACCAGTTTGACCGTAATAAACTTTATCGCAAATTTTACAAGGAATCTTATAGACACATCCATCAGCATTTTGGGGGAATTCTTTATCAAAAGTTTTTTTACTGTATCAAGATTTTTGAATACAACTTTAATATTAAAAGTTGAGAAAGTCCATGGTCGAGAGGAATATAATTGAATCTTGTTTCATAAAAAGCAGTTTTGACAATAATATGAATATTTCCTTTGGTTTATATAAATTAGATCCATTTATAATTAATAGAATTTGGGAAGAATTTAATAATACACTGGACAAATAATAATTTTTTAAATTTTCTTGGGTAGAATAGTTTGTTGGTGGGTTGTGTGAAGGACCTGTCCAGTTGGGCCGGCGCATGTCAGGTGTTTAACTGTTGTGGGATCTGATAGTGAGGTGTTGGCCAGACCCCTTATATACCTTCTCTCTTCTCCAGGTGCATACACGCTTATTATAACCCACTTTTCACATCCAATCTTTATTTTACTCCACATAATCCTTGAATTAATACATTTGTAGTCCCTCTTTTCCTGCCATAGCTTATCCTTCAACATTATTGCTACTCCTTCTTTAGCTCTAACTCTATTTGAAACCCCTGACCTAATCCCATTTATTCCTCTCCATTGAAACTCTCCCACCCCCTTCAGCTTTGTTTCACTTAAAGCCAGGACATCCAGCTTCTTCTCATTCATAACATCCACAATCATCTCTTTCTTATCATTTGCACAACATCCATGCACATTCAGACTTCCCACTTTGACAATTTTCTTCTTATTATTTTCAGTAATCTTTACAGGAAAAGGGGTTACTAGCCCATTGTTCCCGGCATTTTAGTTGACTTTTACAACACGCATGGCTTACGGAGGAAAGATTCTTATTCCACTTCCCCATGGATATAAAAGGAAAAGTAATAAGACCAAGAACTATTAAGATAAAATCAAAGAAAACTCAGATGAGTGTGTATAAATAAATGTGTACATGTATGTGTAGTGTGACCTAAGTGTAAGTAGAAGTAGCAAGACGTACCTGTAATCTTGCATATTTATGAGACAGACAAAAGACATCAGCAATCCTACCATCATGTAAAACAATTACAGGCTTTCGTTTTACACTCACTTGGTAGGACGGTAGTACCTCCCTGGGTGGTTGCTGTCTACCAACCTACTACCATATATATATATACATATATATTTATATATATATATATATATATATATATATATATATATATATATATATATATATATATACATATATATATATATATATATATATTATATATATATATATATATATATATATATATATATGTATATATATATATATATATATATTATATATATATATAATATATATATATATATATATATATATATATATATATATATATATATATATATATATATATAGTTTTTAAAGCTCATTCCTAAATCAATCGTAAATTACCACATTTCAGAGAAAAAATATTGTTTTGTATAAAGTTTATAAATACAAATGAAAATTATCATATTCTTTGCTGTATGTTTTGCAGGTTACAGTAACAGAGTAAAATAGGAGAGGGTGTGATACAATGAAGATGGATAATGAGAGTGAGTCAGCAACCATCGTAGGGAACACTGGCTGCTACGTCAAAAGACAAGTTGCAATACTGTTTGGGTTGCTGTTCGTGAGCGCAACGGTGGCCGCCTCTGATTACTCTGTGGTGAGCTTCTTTTCCCTACTGTAATTTACACGACTCACTTGACACAGAAAACGATAATATCATGCCTCATTTCATTTCAAAACCTAGCTTAGTATTATCCAACTTTAGTTCATTTTATAACCTAATTCTATTTTATCCTACCTCACTTCATTTCATAACATAGTTCTATATTATTTGCCTCAGTTCATTTCATAAAATAATTCTTATATACTATACCATCCTCTCCATAACTACCAGGAACATTCGAATGACACTCAGGTTTTATTTACTCATAGGTAAACAGGGGAGGCAAGTACGAAAGACTTGCTCATACTTTTCGCTTTGCTTGGGAATCGAACCCAAGGCCCTTTGATTATGAACTGCAAGAGTGTTCCTGGCACTCACCATACCCAAAAATGATTTACAACAACAGCAAGAACATCAATAATAATAATAATAATCATCATAATTAATATTTCTTCTTTTTTAAATTATTATTATTATTATTATTATTATTATTATTATTATTATTATTATTATTATTATTATTATTATTGTTATTATTATTATTATTATTATTATTATTATTATTATTATTATTATTTTATTATTATTATTATTATTATTATTATTATTATTATTATTATTATTATTATTATTATTATTATTGTCATTAATATTTTTTTTGTAGTACTATAAGTATTACAATATGTACTGATGTTCGTAAAGGTTTACTAAAGTTCGTTTGAAAAACTACGTCAATGTAATGTACCAAGTTGAATCTGGTGGCGTTATATGTACTATGTATATGTAACTCATGCTGTCCATAGCACTAACATTTCAATTATTAGCGTTTATATATAAGAAGAAATGTAATATTTCGGGTAATCAACTGATTACTTACAGCACCTGATTAAATCTTCCTATAAATAAACATAATTTTCAATGCAAAGGTGCTTGTAAATGTTAAGACAGTAAAATATATAATTGCAGTTTTTCTGTATACCTCTTATCATCTGACTTGATTAAGGAAGTGTCTCCCTAGAAGCACTGAAGCCAAGAGCGGTGTGTGGGCTTCTGTTCCCCATAAATTCCCTCAGCCTTTACAAAGCCTCCAAATAAAAATGGTAATAATAACGGTGCTTCAAAGCAAGTTTCCAAGCTTCACCTTCTTCCAGCCAGATAAGCCACCCCCAAGCTCCCTTCCAGTATAGAATTTCTGGCCCCTGCCGTGATTAAAGCTTAAATATATTATTGATTAGGGTTAATTTCTTCAGAGGAATTCTTCTTGGATGTATTTTAGTTACCTCACAAGTCGGAAATAGAACTGAACAACTCGTCTGTCCGTTGTGGACTATCGTTATCAAGTCGAGAGGTGGCTGGTTTCATTAAATATTCTTGGTCTAATTGTGAAATGTCCAGGCAATGGTAATGTGACATTTATTTATCTTTTGGACAGCTGGTTTAAATTCAGTTACTTGGATTATATATAATTAACTTATTTAAAATAAATGTTGGTCACTGATTGAAGACTTAGTACATTCGTGTTTAATGTATTTAATTAATTTTGTTTAATGTTTTAGAATATACATTGTGACTAATCTGTTCCAGCACATGTAGAAACCAAATATATTCTCTATCTTAGTATTCTCCAATACAAATGTTGCGCCAGATTCTTATACACGTTCTCAAAATATCATAATTCATATACAAAATTGTCAGTATTTATAAATGTTAAATTTGGCAGATTATACCATTCTAGTAATATACCTATTTGTCTCACTCTCTAGTAATTTTAAATTAATATTAAGGCTGCCCGAAATGCTCTGCATAACAAGTTTGTTTTAATAAAGAAGTTTATACATGTTAATTACTGTCCTCTACAATTTTTTTTTTGTTTAGAATAAGCTGGTAATATCACTGTTCCATGTTTTTGGCACCTTCAGTTATATCTATTTGTGTAAATTGCTTAATAAGATGTTTTTTTTATTGGTTTAATAACACTGAAGCTATTAATACATTTGACAGCCTCTTGGATCCACAAGGGATCTCCCGGTATCCATCTTTGCAAGAGAGAAAGAGGAAGTTGATATTCGACTCCCCAAGACCCTCAAGCCTCTTCACTATGTGGTAAAGCTTCAGCCTTTTATCAATGGCAACTTCAGCATCATGGGCTATGTTGAGGTGGAGATAGAAGTTATTGAACCCACCTCCAACATTACCCTCCACATTGCTGACATTATCACCAAGAATGAGACCATCAAAGTAAGTTCCATGAGTCTTTATTGAGATAACACTGAGTACTTGATTATTTCACAATAATGTGAAAATAAAAGAGAACAAATTCTAAATTCTTCGTTCTATATTCTCTTCATAATTTTAACATTTTTATATTCTTGGCAAAGAGGTAAACTCATAAGGGTCATGCAGAGCCAAGAGATTTGGAGGAAAACTGGTTTGATGTGAGTATTCTCTGCATAACTATATTCACTTTAAACACAAATTTCGGACAAAGTATTTCCATGGTCTTTAACCTCCTCTTTAAGAGTTGTCAAGGAGCCACAGTCACGGCGCTGAGGCGTTAAGAGAAAATGGTCATAATCACTTAGTATAAAATGATAAACAAAGTTTACGTCTTCGATGTCAAAGCGACATAGTTACCCAGCAGAGAGGGATATCTAGAGCAAAAAAAAAAAGTAGACATATTGTAATTTATTTTCTTATGTTTTATGAGGAATGTAAATCACATTATGATATTGAAACGCTGCGACAGTGACGATGACTTTAGGGAAAGAAAGTTGTCTGGCAAGAAATGAAAAACTGAAGTCTTGCCGAGCATTTTTTATGGGCCTGAAACATCGTTTTTGCTATATTAATGCTTGTCTTCGTGCAAGCTCTGTAAATTCATCTACTATACTCTACACAAAGAACCCTCACATAGGAAAATTAAACTTATGACCAAGTTAATGGTTCAAGTTGGACCGAAACGTCGTTATAAATTTCATTCTCCCGTGTGCGGGTTATTTGTGTATTGTTCCAGTCACGGTATTGTGCCTTTTTACTGTTTACTATACTATTACTGTATATCCTATGACCATCTGTCCATGTAGTCTTGGGCACGTCTGAGGTAACCTAAGGATCCATTTATCCACCTCCAAAGTACGGCGTTGGTTGGTAAGTTTTTGTTGGCATGAGGCTGTGTTAATGCTCAGTGGTTACAACCTGTCATTAGAACACTACCATTCCGTATATTTGTATGTACGTAGAGCACAAGATGGCGTTTACACCAAATTAGTTCCACTCCTTTCTCCAACCTGCTTTAAAGTTTATGTATTTGCTAATCTTTCTACCCTGTATCTTCTACTTTTTCTCTTCACCTTCATCCTTTATTTACTTTCAACTTATTCACTTTTACATTCCCTTCCAAATTCCATTACCAATGTTTGCACCTTTTCTGTATCATTAAAAAATAATTATGCAGGTTACCACTTAAAATTTGAATCATCATATTTTAAGATCATACTCTCCCAAACACAAGCATTCGCTTCTCTTACAACTCCATGAAGATATTATACATACTTCTCTTGTGTCCCACACTGACTGATAGCCATCCTCTTTCCTACATTCTTTAATGTGTGCTTTGTTTAACTCACACAAGCATTTTACAGCTTTCCACGTTCCCCTTCAAGCTGCGCTGTCATGGAACTTTACCAAGTCCATGAATGCAATAAATGGTTTATGCCCACTGTATGAGTCTTGCTCATTTATATACTTTAATGGAAATACTCGAGCCATACATCCTCTTGTCATACTAAATCCACTGTGCTTTGATTTTATACATTCTTCATTTACAAGTATCATATCAGTCACAACAATAACACAAAGTTTACCTGGTATACTCAACAAACTTATCCCTCTAAAATATTTACTTTCTCTTGCAACTTCCTCCCATTCTCTAAGTATGAAGGAACCCCACATATGCTCTGTCAATCCATGGTTCATATATGTATTAAACAGCAAATCAATCATTCCAATACTTTATCGCCACCTGCATTCAGTATTCCAGTCAAAATCCCATCCATTAAACCATTCTGCTTTTCCCGCTTTTAGCTTTCTTGCTGTTTACCCACTACCTTCATAGTATCTTCGGGCTCTTCGTCCATTCATATTGATGTCATTACTTCTCGTCCCATCATGAATTTTCTGCCTCCATTCATCATTCTCACTGGTGATGCTTATGAACACTGAACTCTCACAGGTGGTGCTTATGAACACTGACCTCTCACAGGTGGTGCTCATGAACGCTGAACTCTCACAGGTGGTGCTTATGAACTCTGAACTCTCACAGGTGGTGCCTTCTGACAACGTGGATGGTCCTGGAGTGGAGGTGAAGCAGAACCTCTACGATAACGACCGCAATTTCTATATTGGTGTGTTAGGGGAGGAGCTGGAACTTGGCAAGAAGTATATTCTCTCTATGGAGTTCGTCGGTTACCTTAATGATGAACTCAGAGGATTTTATAGATCCACATACACTGACGAAGACGGTAACAAGAGGTAAACTGGGTAAATAGACTCATGTAAAAACTAAAAAGATATTTATTGCGGCTACATTTCGCTCACCAGGAGCTTTGCCAAGCCAAATACAAATAATATATTGACTCAACGGATGCATAAAGTAACGTGAGGTGGGTTCAATTCGTTTTTCATTAAGTCTTCGTGCGTTACAATACTGCGGGTTTAAAATTTACTGGACCATAATCTTGATCTACAGCTGAATTAAATGTAAGCCAACTATTGTATAGAAATGAATTTAAATATGTGGTAGCAGCAGCTGAAAGTATTGAAAGTAACCTAGATGCAAAAATGATTGTGTCATGACAAAGTCCACATTATAAGGACATTTATTCTGCTCTTAAAGGTGGTAATAATGTGTTTGTCACCGCAGTTTGCTAGCGTCGACTCAGTTTGAGCCAACTGATGCCAGGAGAGCCTTTCCATGTTTTGATGAACCTGCTATGAAAGCTACCTTTGAAATCTTCCTCGCCAGAGAAACGTCAATGTCTTCAATTTCAAACATGCCAAAATTTGAAACCTTTCCATTGTAAGAAAAAAGTGGACCCTTAATTTGTTTTTATTAAATACAGTGTTTACTGATATAAAAGAACTTTGTTTATAATAATAATACATTAACATGAGGTTTGTTTGCACAGTGAGGGTGAGGATGGGTGGGTGTGGGACCATTTCAACACAAGTGTGCCAATGTCCACTTACTTGGTCGCCTTCGTCGTTTCCGACTTCACTCATGCTGATTCTAATGCCAACGATCATGTTCTCTTCAGAGGTAAGATATAAATCTCAATCACCGGAAAAAATATTTAATTTTATTGTCCTTTGATTAACAATTATGGAAATATTGTGCAGTATTGTTTTGCTACTATTTATTTTATGATTAAATTTGTTTGTATTTTTAACCCTAAGGGTTAGCCACCCAGGATAATCCGAGAAAGTCAGTGCGTCATCGAGGACTGTCTGTCTTATTTCCCTTATGGTCCTTCAATCTTGTTCCCTAGGATGCGACCCACACAAGTCAACTAACACCCTAGTACCTGCTTACTGGTAGGTGAACAGAGACAGCAGGTGTAACCGTGTAAGGAAACATGCACAACGTTTCCACCAGGCCGGGAATTGAACCACAGACACAGTGTGTGAGGCGAGAGCATTGTCTTCGGAGCCACGGGTTCTGCTGTCATAGTATATTTCTATTATCCTTCACAGTGTGGGCTCGTGAAGGTGCCATTCAGCAGGCAGATTACGCCCTTAGGACAGGTCCTGAAGCCCTGACGTTCTACGAGGAGGAATACTTCAACATTCCGTTCCCACTCCCCAAGCAAGACATGATAGCCATTCCTGACTTCTCAGGTGGCGGCATGGAAAACTGGGGACTCATCACTTACAGGTCAGAAATTATCAATCGTCTCTTAGTTCTCCGTTTTAATAAGCCATCGAGATATTTTATCAACATTAATTAAGGAGAAAAATAACATAGTTAATACATTAACTCGCATTTGAACATAGTCACAGTGAGTGATACAGAGAGAGAGAGAGAAAGAGATAGAGAAAACAACAAACGAGGATTACAACCATATACCAGGCTCTCAACAGATTGTGTCATTGACAACGTCCAAGGGATTTATTCAGTAGCATAAAAGATCCTCAGTAGTCTAATACTGACATTCTACGTTATCCAGACATATAGATGGTGTTGAAAAAGAAGTAAATGCTAGGATGTTCGGGAAATGGGTGGGATTAAATTAGGCGGATTCAAATGCAAAATGGGAGTTGACACAGTACTTTTTGCTGATGATACTGTGTTTTTGGGAGATTCTGAAAAGAAGTTGCAAAAGTTAGTGAACGAGTTTGGAAGGGTGTGTAAATGAAGAAAGTTGAAAGTGAACATATATAAGAGTAAGGTAATGAGGGTATCAAACGATTTAGATAAGGAAAACTGGATATCATATTGGAAGAAGGTAGTATGGAAGAAGTGAATGTGTTCAGATATTTGGGAGTAAGCTTGTTGGCGGATGGGTTTATGAAGGAAGAGGTAAACCATAGAAATGATGAAGGAAATAAGGTGGGTGGTGCACTGAGGTATCAGTGGAGATAAAGAACATTATTCATGGAGGCAAAGAAGGAAATGTATGAGAGTATAGTGGTACAAACACTCTTATATGGGTGTGACGCAAATGTTGTGAATGTTGCAACAAGAAGGAGGGTGGAGGCAGAGATGTCGTGTCTATGGGCACTGTAATGTGGAAATTAGGAGGAGGTGTGGTATTATTCAGATGGTTGAGGAGGGGTTGTTGAGGTAGTTTGGTCATTTAGAGAGGATGTAGGAAAATAGGATGACTTGGAGGGTAGTGGAGGGAAGGAGGGTCAGGAGTAGTTCTAGGAAAGAATGGAGGGAGGGGGTAAGAGAGGTTTTGTGTGTAAGGGGCTTGGACATACAGCAAGCATGTGTGAGCGTGTTAGGAGTGGAGACGAATGGTTTTTGGGACTTGACGAGCTGTTGGAGTATGAGCCAGGTAATATTTTGTGAAGGGACTCAGGGAAACCGTTTAGCCATGGAGGTGGAAAGTACGATGCTAGCACTTTAAAGGAAGGGCTTTGGATATTTGCTGTTTGGAGTTATAACTGAACTGTCGCATCTGTGTGTCTCTGCAAAGACAGTGATTATGTGTGAATGATGAGGGAAAGTGTTTCTCATTTTTGGGTCACCATGCATCGGTGGGAGACGGCCAGCATGTTGAATGTGTGTGTGTGTGTGTTTAGGTAGCTTTACCTGCATTTCTGTCTTCGTGTTTGGCTTCTAGTGGATTAGTCAAGAAGATTGTCCCTGAACGCTTGAGAGGTGCGGTAGGAGCTCAAGACCCAAGGTTCACAGAAGCAGCCGTGCGGTGGGACACCCTTGCAGACTCCTCCAGTAGACCAGCTCCTTCCAAAGAGCAAAAACAGTCCCACTGGGACATACCGATCATGGAAATAAATCGCCAACGTAATGTTCACCAACGTTTCAGGAAAGAATAAAGCTTGTCTCCTAGCTGTGAAGGCACCACACTCAGGAGATTTCCTTCTGGCTGTTCCCAATTCCTCCCTGGGCACTCGACTCGACCCACAGGCCATTTGGATTGGTGTTGCACTTCACCTAGGTGCCCAAATCCTCACCGAACATAGGTGTATTTGCGGCAGGGCGACGGCTGATCAATTCGGACTTCATGGTCTCGTGTGTCACACATCAGAAGGGAAGTATGCCAGACATGAAGTGGTCAATGACATTATAAAGAGAAGCCTTGCCTCAGCCCGTTGTCCAGCTCAACGAGAATCCCAAGTGCAGATGTATGACGGAAGTCAGAAACGTCCTGATGGAGCCACTATGCTACCCTGCAAGGATGGAAAGAAGATTGCCTGGAACTGCACCTGTACCACAACACTGGCAAACACCTACTTCCCATACTTCGTAGCTGAAGGGGGTGGAGCTGCCAGCCACAGGGAGACCCAGAAGACCCTCAAATATGAAGGCCTTCTTCCTTGCTATAACTTCATCCCAATAGGGTGGGAGACCCTTGGAGCATGGGGCATGTGTGCTCTAAAGTTCCTCGAAGAGCTGAGTGAAAAACTCATCATAGAAACCAAGGACCAGAGAGCGGCCAGCTTCCTCTTTCAGAGAGTGTTGCGATCCAGAAGGGAAATGCCTGCAGCACTCTTGGCACACGGCCCACGACCGGTGAGCTGAACCAAGTATTCGAGATGTAGCTCTGAATTGTTATCTATGTTGTTTTACTCCTTATTGTATTTTTGTCAATGTATTTTGTCAATGTGTTTTGTTTTTAATATATATACTAAATAAAGGGGGTGGTAGGAGAAAATTTTCAGAAAACTTCAGGGAGAACCTTGCGTTTTCCCTGAAGCAAGTTTATTCTTTTCTCTGAGGATGAGGATCCCCAGAACAGTTCTAGAGGTGGTACCTCCCTATTATATAAAATATATTTTATATATATATATATATATATATATATATATATATATATATAATATATATATATATATATATATATGCAATAATATCACAGTAAACAGGTGATTTTAAAATATGTAAAACAACCAATGTGAAAGAGTAGTGAAATTCCAAGCGCATTCGTGACTACTCACATTGTCAAGAAACTATCAGTTCCTTGACAATGTGAGTAGTCAGAAAGCGCTTGGAATTTCACTACTCTTTCACAGTGGTTGTTTTGCATATATATATATATATATATATATATATATATATATATATATATATATATATATATTATATATATATATATATATATGATGGGGTCCCACCTCTGGTGTAAATTGTGGGACCCATAGCCTCGGAGACGTGGATAAAAAGGCTTCAAGGAAGAATATTTGGATTTCTTCCTGAAACCGTTTGAATATTCCACTCCCCCTACCACCCCATCTTTTCATATTTTTTTTTTACCAAAAGGAATATTTTATTACATAATATGGTACAGAAGATTTAAGAGATACATTGTTGATATAAAGGTGGCATATAAGGTACATGTTGTTACGTGTATATCAACCGATTATAAGGCGAAAATCTCATCCAGCTCCTCAGAGCTGTATATATATTATATATAATATATATATATATATATATATATATATATATATATATATATCAACCAATAACAATGTGACTAAAATGGTATAAAATACCGACAGGTTGTTAGGTAAGACACATATGCAACAGTTAGGTATCTTTATTTCGAAACGTTTCGCCTGAACAGTAGGCTTCTTCAGTCGAGTACAGAAAAGTTGATAGAAGCAGAAGAGACTTGACGACGATGTAATCAGTCCATCACCCAAAAGTTTTGAGGTGGTCAGTCCCTCAGTCTGGAGAAGAGCATTGTTCCATAGTCTGAAACAATATTGTATCAGACTATGGAAAGCGAAAATCACACAGGACCACCCAATCCTACAAAGATCGCGCACCCAGCAGAGCTAGGTGTTGTACTGTGATCCAAGGACATACAATGGTTTGGGTGCCTCAGAGCTAATTTCATTTTACTCCCCGTTTGGTGTACTAGCCTCCACAAGCAATACGCATCGTGTTGTAACCACACACGAGTGGTATTTAATCAGTAACAACACTGCGACTAGCCGAGGGTTCGAACCGGTTTTGTTTCCCCCCCTCCTCATGGTGAGCAAAAATCACATGATGCTCTTACCCACAGGACCACCCAATCCTACAAAGATCACGCACCCAGCAGAGCTAGGTGTTGCATCGTGATCTGAGGACATACCATGGGTTAGAACATCGTGTGATTTTTGCTCACCATGAGGCGGAACAAAATAACACGAGTTCGAGCCTTCGTTCGAGTCACTCGTTCGTGATTACAATACGATATTTACTGCTTGTGGAGGCTAGTACACCAAACGAGGAATAGAACGAAATTATCTCTCAGGCACCCACAACGGTACAACACCTAGCACTGTTGGGTGCGTGATCTTTGTAGGACTGGGTGGTCCTGTGTGTTAGAGCGTCGTGTCATTTTCGCTCACCATGAGGCGGGCCAAAACAACACTGGTTCGATCCCTCGGCTAGTAGCAGTATTGTTATTGATTAAATACCACTCGTTCATGGTTACAATACGATATATATATATATATATATATATATATATATATATATATATATATAATATATATATATATATATAATGTGTGTGTGTTTGTCAAATTTGCAAAAAAAAAAGTAATTTACAACATAACGAAAAAAATATATATATCACTGATTTTAAGTAAAAAAAATAAATTTAAACTGATCACTGATGTGTTTTGTAGTTTCACTAAAAATTACGTTAGGTTAAGTTAGATTTTGTCAACAAATGTATTTTTTTTACTTCACTATCAATGAAAAAAATATATCTATTAATCTGCAAATTTTTGGGGGGAAACGAGAGAGAGAGAGAGAGAGAGAGAGAGAGAGAGAGAGAGAGAGAGAGAGAGAGAGAGAGAGAGAGAGAGAGACAGAGACAGACAGAGACAGACAGAGACAGACAGAGACAGAGAGAGAGAGAGAGGAAGACACATACACACACAAGGATTAAAGTATTCTTAATAGGTGTTGAACAGGTTACTTGCAGCCACATTGACCCTCGTATAGTTGATAGCCTCTAAACCATGTTTAGAATTAGCTAATTACTGAATTAATATAAGTGAATTTACTTCATTTTCCCCCTAATATTAAGCCCTGCAGACAATGACAATAGTGCCTGAAAGTGAGTTGTAGTGTTTAAACGAATATATGATTATTTTTAAATTTTAACAACTATATAATGTTAACCCGCAGTGAGTCAGGTTTCCTGTACGACCCAGCAGTGTCGTCTGCTTCTGATGAGCAGCGAGTGATGATCTTGGTAACTCACGAGTTGGCTCACCAGTGGTTTGGCAACCTTGTCACCCCAGACTGGTGGACAGATATTTGGCTCAATGAGGGATTTGCTTCTTTCATGGAAAATATTTGCAGCGATCACGTGAGTTGAAATACGTTAAGATGGATCAACTAAGTATTATCTACTATTACACGCAAATAACCCGCACATGGGAGAAGCTGATGACGTTTCGGCCCGACTTGGACTGAAACGTCGTCCTATATGCGGGTTATTTGTATATTGTTCCTGTCACGGTATTGTGCTTTTTGGTTCTTTATCTACGTATTATATTGTTCAGGAAACATGGAGGAGCCTGATTAGGATATAAGAACAATTATATGAATAAGCATTTATTTAATGAATGTTAAAAATTGACAATTTAAACACTTTACCGTGGCGTTTCAATACCTTTTTTTTTAAATTTTAGTGACAGTAAAATTGCTGTTGCATTGATTATAACTTTTTATAATGTGGTGTAATAACTTAAAAAAAAAATACTGACGTCCTTGTACTTCAGCTTGAGCCCACCTGGAAGATGTGGGAGCAGTTTGTGTCTAATGATTTACAAGATGTGCTGGAGATGGACAGCCTCGAGTCCTCACACCCCATCAGCATCCCCGTTGGAAGACCTGAAGAGATTAACCAGATTTTTGACGGTATCTCCTACTCTAAAGGTGAATATTAAAATGGTATAAAATACCGACAAGTTAGATAAGACACATATCCACCTGTTAGGTATCTTTATTTCGAAACGTTTCGCCTACACAGTAGGTCTCTTCAATCGAGTACAGAAAAGTACTTTTCTGTACTCGATTGAAGAGGCCTACTGTGTAGGCGAAACGTTTCGAAATAAAGATACCTAACAGTTGCATATGTGTCTTATCTAACATACTCTAAAGGTGTGTATGCATGTATATATATATATATATATATATATATATATATAATATATATAAATATATATATATATTATATAATAATATATATATAATATAATATATATATATGGGTGTTGTAAGTTGACCGAGAGGTGTAATCTTGTCCTCATATACCTTTCTGTTGACCTTTTATTTTTACAGTTCCTTGATAAAGTGAGAAATCACAAAAGCGCTTGGTGGGAAGTACAATGCCTGCACTTTAATAACATACATAAATACATCTGTTAATAATAGCATCTGCTAATAATGATTACGTACACAGGTGCGTCTGTTATTCGCATGATGAACTACTTCCTAACTGAGACAACTTTCAGGAAAGGAGTCACAAACTACCTCAATGGCCAGTAAGTAGTTTGTAGTCTTCAGTATGGGATCTATTAGTGGCTTTAATAATAATAATAACAATAATGATATTAATAATAATAATAATATTATTATTATTATTATTATTATTATTATTATTATTATTAATTATAAATTATTCATTCGCCGCCTTGACATCGGTCGGCGTGAACGTGCAGCTGGAGCTTCTACTTTTACGAAGGTGGTTTGCCTGTGTGCACCATGGTCATGGGTTTGAGAAAACATATCAACAAGATCGGCGTTGAGTTACTGAAGGGAACCGTTATGCCGGAAGTGTTTAATGTGTTGTTTCCCACCATAATTCGGGACATATGAAATAACAGAATAAAGTCTCTACAGCGTAGTCATGAATGGAGCTAAAAGATTGTCGTCTGCTGAAGTGTATGATGCGGTGGTTGATGTTTTTCAAGATGTCGTGGTGGGGGTCAGCCAGGATGTTAGTGCGCACCTGGTGGATGTATCAAAGCGATACACCTGGGTTAAGATTCGTAATGACTGACCTACGACAAGTGTTCTCTCGATATGGCACTATACAGGTGGCACAACCAGGTTCTAGGGTAACTGGCGTGTATGCTGTATACCCGAGGGTACGTGCTCTCTCAAAATGTTTTAAGTACCCCGTGCCCTCCTATGTCATCTTGCAGGTGGTGTCTTATGCAGGACAGTAGCGCACCTGCAGGATTTGTGAAGGATATGACCATATGGCGGTGGAGTGTCCTCGCCGGAAGGTGCAGCCGAGTGTGTTCAAGCCGTCTCCATCAAAGAAGGAGCGAGCTTCCAGGCCATGAGGCACGCGTCGCTCCCAAGAGGATCGAGAGAACACGGACATGTGCCGGAGAGCGTAGTGGTGGATGTCAGGGCTGGTACACGAGACAAGGTGGTGGTTGGTGCACCTCCCTATTTTAGAGGATAGGGTTTGTGTTCACTCAGACTCGGAGGCTGCTGGACTGGATAACGTGCTTGATAAAGTGTTGACATATTTTTCCCTCCCAGAGGAAACTTGCGTCTTCGGTGATCGGGGCAATCTAGATCTCAAGTGTGTGATGAAGTTGCACGAAGTCCCTAAATAACTCAATGGTACCTGTGCTGCTTGGAGAACCTGAGGTGGGGATCACTGAAGTAGAGGTGCATCAGGCATCCTCAATCGATATGTGTGAAGTGAAGAATTAGTATACCCGAAAACGAGCGGCAGCATCGGATTCTGTTGTGTTAACGCCAGCACAAAGGCAGCCTGGTAAAAAGTCCTGGACAGAGATGGTCAAAGGTTCTGGGGTGGAGGGGGATACAAAATTTTTAATTTTCTAAATTCAGCTTGTGTAAATATGAATAATATAATAAATGGGTATTAAAATGTGATGCCATTTGGACCCTTCGAGAAATTTTAAGTGAAGGAGGTGTGGAACAGCTGCTGAGTGATGCGGACTGGGAGATGCCATATTGAAATTGAATGTGTGAATACTAATCTGAAATGTCCAATGTAATCAGGCGTTCTAGAAGGTCAGTTGGTGTATATCGGCCTCAATCCGTAATTTAGAAATTGCTGACACATTCCTGCTAAAGAATTGGGATAAATAATGTGGAAAACCCTTATATTTCGGCAACAAGAACTGAAAAATAGAGGACACCGATTCTTCCTATGAGCACACCTTAGCTAAGTGACACGTACCCATAAGGTAAATTATGATCCAGTAATTAAATGATAAGTGGTAATACAAATTTCCTTTCTAATAACACTATTATAATTTGTGTCCAATAATTATAATCTGTGTATCCAGCAAGCCTATCATATACACTCCACACAACTTTAATTTACCAGAGTAGCTGGTTTTAATATTGTAATTATTAATTTAATGTCAGGTCTAGCTTTTTGTGAGAGTGGTAGGGAGTGGGCATTGAGGGAGTTGCAGTTGAGCGACCTGCTATGACTAAGTCCCACTTACCTTAAACCAAATTACTTGCAGGTAATAATTCAGGTAATACCCTGTAAACCTCCTGCAGGTAATTTGCTCACATGATAATAATTCATAAAAGGGGGTGAGGGTCAAAATGCTTGTCGTAAAGAGGCCCAAAGCACCGAGGATTGCGACCAGCAGTGGCGCCCTTAATAAGGGTTATAACGATAAGCCCAAGGGTCGAGACTGAGGAGGAACCTTCCTTTTACTAGGCCTCCGGTTAATGATTCTCAACTTTAATGGGTTTTGTGTGGTGGCAATGCGGAAATGGTTTGCGAGGATGGTTCTTAGGTGCAGGGTTGATGTGTTTTTGCAAGAGCATAAGTAACCTTAAAACAAGATCTGGAAATCCCAGATGGCGAATGTATTGCCTACTGTACGGAAGGAAGGTGGTGTGGCCCGCTTGGTGGGAAAGTCATGTCCGCTTGTGCATTATCGTAGTGAAAATGGTGGCGATGGTCGCATTATCCCATGTCGCTCATATATATGTATGCGGCAGCATACATATATATTTGAGACACTGGACAGAATTTGTCAAAATATCAGAAGCTGGTCTAGTGGCTAACGCGACGGGCTGGAGTTTTGAGACTCTATGACCGCGGGTTCAATCCCGGCCGGGGGTATGGTTTATCAGAAACTGTGTGTTCAGTATGCACAGTGACAGCTGCTTTTTCTGATCTTGCAGTTCCCACGGTCATAGGGGACGAGGAAGAGGTTTGGGTGTTGGTGGGAGGTAAACAAATATCGGGGGAAGTGATAAAGGATTGATATGTTAGTGAGACGAGAGTTTTATGTAGGGGAAGGTAATAGGTTTAATTCTATGAGATGAGGGTTATTAAATTATTAAGAGAGATTGCGTTAATGTTGCAAGGAAGGGGCGACTCAGCGGGTGCACCGAATAGATGATACAGAGGGGTTTGAAACTTTTGATCCGAGATTTACGTAATGAGCGGTATGATGCTGTGCGTGTACAGGCGGCGGCGGTGTTATGGGGAGACAAGCAATTTCTGTGTATTTTACGTTCACAGGAACAGAGTAGGCAGGCGACTACTGTTTCATGTCAGGGAAGGGCAGGTCCTGAAAACGACTGATGCGATGGTGGTGTAGATGAATGGTTCAGAGAACTGATGAGTTGATATGCAACACTTGGGTATCTTTAATGAGGAAACGTTTCTCCACACAGATAGGGGTGTTCATGGGCAGGTGGTATGAGAATAAGGTGGTGGAGGGTGGGGCTGTGTCTGACGTTTGCAATAGAATTCGTTGTAATTTTAAGGAGGGATAGCATGGTGTTATGAGGTGCTGTTGAAGAGGGGTAGGTTTGTAAGGCATTGTCAGAAATGGCTAAGCGTAAATTCCAAGCGGCTTGATGGGATACCAGTTGAATTTTGTCAAGCACTAGGAGTTATTGAGGGTGTTTTTGGTACTCCTTTTGAATGTCATGAAAGAGGAAGGGTAGCTTGGGCTCTGTTCATACGAAGAGGGTCGTTGTCTTCGTCCCAAAGGAAACTTTCTGTTTCACTTTATTTGATTATAAACTCTTTGCTAAATTGTTGTTAATCGAATCAAGTGTGTCGGGGTTTTTTTGTCTACCTGGTCAGTATGGATTCGGGAAAACCCGTGTTAGGGTAAACCCAATTGACGATTTTGTCCTTAAAGTGCAAAAAAAATAGCGTATGATTTGTGGAGAGGGAAACAGAGTATATCCCCTTCGTTAGGGGTTTGTGGCGGAAATTGTGAGGTGGGGTGGATACGTTGTATTGTGGAGCGGTGGTTAGAGTCCAAGTAAAAGGTAGATTAGGGAAAAGGGGCTGTACCCACATGTAGAGCTCCGATAGGGTTTCCGTTTCTCGATGGGGTGTGCAAACCCTTCTATAGGTGGTGAGGGACAGATTTTCTGGTGGGATGATGAGAGAGAGGGAAGGGAGATTTTTTCCCACTATTTTAGGGTATTGCAACTACTTTTTGTGAATGAGCATACTAGACTTGAAACGCTTGAAGGTTTGGTAGAGACGTTTGGAAAGGCGTCAAGGATGATTGTGAATATTGATAAATTTAAAATCTTAGGTCTTGGTGAGTAGGTTAATCATAGTGATTGGGGCAGCAGAATCATCACACAGGTGGAGAGGTCTGTAAAGATTTGTACACAATCGACAGATAAGTGGCGAGGGAAGAAAATTCTGAGAGGGTACAGTTATTATTATTAATTATAATCAGTTTTGCAGTTATTAGTAATTATAATTAACTGAGAGGGTACAGGAGAGTACGAGGAGTCCGGTCTCATCACCAAACAGTCTTACAAAGGGCCATTACTGTGGGTGCCCTTCTGTGTAGTCGGGCTTGTTATGTCGTTATTGTGATGAATGGTTTTGAAAACCGACAAGTTGAAGATTGAGACACTTATGCAACATATGGGAATCTTTATTTAGGAAACGTTTCGCCACACAGTGGCTTCATCAGTCTAATACAAAGCAGAAAGGTGTAAGGAGAGAAAAAAATTTTAGGTAACAGTCCCTTAGCCGGGAGTCGAGTGTTCGTCCATAAACTTTAAATGTACACATAAGGTATTAGACTGGCTTATATATTTTAAATTCAGGTGAGGCAAAGCAGGGGGAGGCGGGGAAATAGTGCTCCATCACTAGTCGATTGGGTTTTTCCCCAAAGGGTTGGACAATTTTTTGATGAATACAAAAGTTTCCCATATGTTGCATAAGTGTCTCAATCTTCAACTTGTCGGGTTTTTCAAAAACCCTTCATCACAACTGTCAGACACTGCATCATCATGGGATCTTGATAATAAATTCTCAAACTTGTCCCCACCTTGGACGAAGACCTACTTCGACTAGTGGGTGGTTCCACTATTACCCCCCCTCCTCCTCTTCGCCTCACCGAATACAGAATAAGCCAGTCTACGGCCCTTCTGTACATCTACAAGACTGGGATGAACCATCGACTCCAGGGTGAGGGGCTGATTACCTCAAATCCTCCTCCCTTACACCTTTCCTTCGCCACTTGGGCGAAACGTTTTCCCAAAAAAAGTTCCCATATGTTTCAAAGTTCTCAATCTTGTCTTATTGTTTACCCCCTTTAATTGGTTGAATGCGTAGGATCTTCGATGATATGCAGTCTTACCCGTGCTATATTGTTTTGCCCTGTGCCAAGTTTTGTATGTTGGCCATAGTTATTTTTTATCGGTTTGGGTTTTTGTACTTATTCTAATCAATCGATTTTTTCTCAGCGTTTTTTTTTTTTGTGTATTTTTTTTTTTAGTGTGCCACCAACGGGAACAAAAGACATAAAAAAAATTATTCCATTAGGTCACAGTACCTGGTACTTGACAAAGGTTTTCATTTCTCCTCCTTTTTCGTATATAAATAGAAAATTGTAAAAAAACGTGAACATAAGGGAACGTGATACTTAACGTTCGTTCAGATTTTGGGGCAGTACTGCCGAACAACTGTGGTGATCGGGAGCGGTATGGGCATTCTGACGAAGTATAGGGAAAAAATCTTTTGTTTTTGGCCAAGACTTTTTTTAAGGGAAAATTGCGCCCCAGGAGATCTTAATATTTGGACAGCAGCCCCCGTGGCGAAAATTTCCCCCCATAAATATAAAAATAAACCTGCACATAGGAAAGCGGGGTTTTATGCTCCAGTACGGAATTGGACTTTTTTGTTCCCCCGTAAAGTCTGATAAGGTATAAAAAATCTTTTAAACCCAACTGTTGGACTTTTTCGAAAGGCCAGTTGGGGTGTGTTAGTAAAGCATCGCTGGGATGAAAATTTTAATTCTGAGATTGGTAAATTGCGAGGTAATTATGGCATTAAAAGTTTCAAAATGTAAATCTGTTTAAGTTCTAATAATAATTTGGATAAAATGTTTAGCGTAATATTTACTAAGAGTGAGAACCTTTCTAGGGCGTATTCCAACGCTGATCAAGACGACCTGTGGCAGTACCTGACAGACGCTGCTCATGAAGACGCCACACTGCCACCAGACATGACAGTCAAGGAAGTCATGGACACCTGGACGCTGCAGATGGGTTACCCTGTTATCAAGGTTGTGAGGAGCTCAGACGGCACCTCGGCAACCCTCACTCAGGTTAATAATTTACCAATGTTTTGTTGTTCAAGAATAAAGCTCTGTACCATAGTAGAATATCACAATGTTGAATAAATTAATAAAAAATAAGTTTCATATTTTTACAGGAACGATTTTTGCTAGTAAAGAACGAGAACTCGTCAGACACCCATGACTACAAGTGGTGGGTTCCACTAACATACACGAGTCAAGATAACCCTAATTTTAATAATACTCAAACCCAAGTATGGATGAAGGATTCTGAGAAAGAGATAACAGTCTCTTCACTGCCTGAGAAGGACCAGTGGGTCATCTTCAACGTACAGGAGATAGGTTATTATAGAGTGAACTATGACGACGACAACTGGAACTTGCTCATTCAGCAGCTGAACAACGACCACCAAGTTATCCATGTGATAAACCGTGCTCAGATCATCGACGACGCCATGGATTTTGCACAAGCCGGTAAGTTTTTCTATTATTGAGGAAATGCGTGCATTTTTCTTTAGAAATACCAGAGGTCGGTAGCTTCAACTGTCAAGATACGTTACTAAATGTTATAAGTTGTGAAAATTATTAATTTCTAAATAAAAATTAAAAAAAAAAAGCTTAACTCAAGCTTCTCCGTACGTTTTATATGGTTTAGCGCTTCTTTTGATGATAATAATAATGTACGTTTTATAATAGAAATAACACTATATAACAATGGTTATAAATGACCATAATTTTTAAAGCGGTGGACCGGTAAGCCAGCGGAAGGCCTCGGTCAGATGACCAAAAGCTCCAAAGGCGGGTCATCATCTGACTAAGACCTGCGTCAGGAAACATTTGTCCTGTTTCCTGACAAACCTTACCTAACCTAACCTAATCTCCAGGTTAGGGAGATTGTGTATTTTGAGTGATAAAGTTGCCTTCATTTGTCTTCTATTGACGTGATGTTGATAAACCTTCTTTACCACTTTCGTTAATGTTTGTCTGACACTATGGTGAGTGCACATCCCTAATTTCTGCGTAATAAAAGGCCTTTATATAAATACTAAATTATGTGTGTCATGAGAGCTAATTTTCGTTTGCCTATATATTGACGCCACTTATTTTCTCGCGAAATGATGACTGGTGTTATATGATTAGCGTAGCCATCTAGTGTCAGTTTTTAGAGTTAATTATTAGGAGGTTGTTTATACAGTGGGGCAATAAATATAAATTAAACTTAGCCAAACTTACTTATTAATTTCTTTCTATATTAATTTTGCGTTCCTGCGTACTGGCAGGGTTGCATCTGCTCTTGTTGTCATCTCCCAAGTTAAGAACGATAAGAACTTTGTGTAGTTAGGCATAAGAATTAACTGACCGTCTACACTGCAAACTGAATTGTTTGCCATCCTAATGGCGTTAAGTTAACTCATAACTCTGAGCTTGACTCTGTTACTGATTCTATGTCATCAGTGAAAGCTCTCGACTCTCATTATAGCTCTAACATGTTCATTGGAGAAGCCAGATATAGTTATTAAAAAATCCGATAAAAATGAATCACTCATTGGATTACTCCTTTATGATAAAGTTGATATGTTAACAAAGAAAATACTCAGAAGGAAAATGTAGAATATAACTTAGGTGTGTGTGTCTAGCATTAGGAATAAAATTAGAAGAGAAGCAAATACTGAAATTGAAAGTTATAGGAATGCAGTTAGAAGCATAAGTAGATTTATAAACCACTATAATAACATGAACATAGATAAGTACGTTCATGGAGCAGCTTGCAATGGGCAATGACTAAGATTAGGCTTGGTTTCAAGCACTTCTGGCAGTTTGACACATGATCAAACCAAATGAAAAATGTGTGGCCAGCCCTATGATCACTATCTTGAACACAGTGCTTGATTGTCCACTTAATGAGGAATATAGAGACAGTATGATAACTTATATGAAAATAAAATACTAGACTTATTTAAGCAAATTTCCAAAATTTGATTGCAGCCAGATGTACTTCTGTTAACCTTTTCGGGGCCCAGTTTGTATGCGTTTTGTGTACCCATGTGCTCTTGCGCTACCGTCCACAAGGATAGATATGGGGTGCACAATGCACTAGCCGCTTCGGAGGTAAAATCTGTCCACTCTGAAATGAATGAAAATGAAGTTTTTACCGTTGTCGCCGTTAAGTAATGTATCATGCAACATCGCCCTGAGTATGAATGATGCAATTAACTACTGTTGTCACCCTCTGGTCATTTATCATAAAATATCGCCTTGTGTATGAATGATGTCATTAATAAGTATGGTTTTCCTCAGGTCAGTTATCGTACAACATTGCTCTGAGTGTGAATGAATACTTGAAAAGTGAGGAGGAATTTATAGCTTGGAACACAGCCTTACTCAACCTGGAATACTTGGAGATGATGTTCTCTCGTAAGGGAGGTTATGGAGCTCTCAAGGTAAGCAATGGTACTGAAAGAAATACCAGGAATATTTATATTACACAGTTTTTAGGTATATTGCTGTGCCGTGTATGTTTAAATCAGATTACCACGCGTAAAATTTCTATAATATAATCAATATCTATGTTTGCAAAGCTAATTAACTTTCAAATTCATTAAAACCACCTCTTATATAGAGTACTTGATTAAACACCACACTTATTAAGACTGGTGTCACAATATTTGCAGTCTCGTTAAAAGGCTTTAAAATACTTGTCATTTGCATTATTATGCTGGCTGATTGTGCTAAAATTATTTTCCTTCATTCACTGGGACAGAGGTATTTGCTGGACCTCCTGATTCCACTGTACGACTCTGTTGGCTTCGAGGACAACCCCAGTGACCCTCACTTGGAGAAGTACAAACGGGTGTTGGCCTTGTCCAATACCTGCCATTTAGACTACCAAGACTGTGTTCAGAATTCTGTCTCTCTCTTCCAAAAATGGATGCAGAACCCGAACAATAACAGGTAAACTGTGTAGCATGGGTCACCTCAAGATATTTTACATAAACTTACTGTTAATAAAAATTTTCTGAGCCGTCATAATGAATGTCTATATGTAGGATACATTTTTTTAATGAGATCCTTTGGATTTCACAGCCAAGCCAGTCAGACACCTTTACCTTAACCGGTGTTTCATTCGCATGCAGATAACTAAAGTTATAATACGTTCTATGTTTATTTTTTTGACTGTTCGGCTTCCTGCTTAATCTGGCTGAAAGTAGCCTCTTCCTCAGATCCTACTGCATTTTTTTTTAAATTTGCATCTAGCAGTATAATGGTTTTCTCTTCCGTGCTGTTCTACAATCACCAAGCTTAATGTTGCAAGCAGCAGTTGAATGTACACTACTGTTAGATGCAACGGTAGTGTATGCACCACTGTTGGATGCAAAATTAGACTTCCATCCAACAGTAGCATGTACTCTCATACAATTCAGGTACAATCGTGTACAGGTAGGGGAAAATAGTTATATTACATTAGATTCACGAAATCCTAATAACACGATTACAAACAAATCACGGAACAACTCACCATGGGTTCAAACCCCACTCGCTCAGTGGTTTATATTACATTTCACTTAGTGCTAGGATTTCAAATTTAAGTTTATATAAAACACTTAACAATAAATTTCAGCTTGAAGCCAAATCCTTTTATTTCGGTGATACACAGTCACTCACAGTTCCTAATCGTATCCGCAGCATCGTGTCGCCCAACCTGAAGAGCACAGTGTACTGCACCGCTATTGCTGCTGGTGGTGAGGAGGAGTGGAACTTTGGCTGGAACCAGTACCTCGCCTCCAACGTTGGCTCTGAGAAAACAACTCTGCTGTATGCTCTGGGATGCACCAAGGAACTTTGGATCTTGTCTCGGTGAGGAATATAAGTAACAGTAGAATGGCTGAAAAATTTAAAATTATGATGTGGAAAGGAAACGCTAGACGACGTTTTAGTTCATCCTAGACCTTTAAGTAGCAAATTGATGATGGTCCTCGATGGACCGAAACGTTGTCTAAAGTTTCATCTCTTAATTGTAGGTGAAATGTAAATAATCTCGATGAGCTAAGTTGTTCTTTGACTCACGAAATCGTAATGATACGATTGCAAACAAACCATACCACGGACGGGGATAGAACCCGCGATCAGAGTCATAAAACTTGGTCTGGAGTTTTATGACTTTGATCGCGGGTTCTAACCCCGCCCGTGGTATGGTTTGTTCTTACTTTCCCAGTTTTAACATGTTGCATGGTAATTAGTTATTACAATGAGGCTGCAGATGTATCATATTTATGTTCCTTAATACTGTACAAAGTTAGACTACTCTTGTAACTTTCTTGTGTTAATACTTCCATTATTTCGTTAACCAAATGGTAAAAATCAGACAGTAATAACATAAAGAATATAAGAATTACGACAATGCGAATCGAATAAAGGTTCATACATCCGACTCCTGTCTTCCTCTGACTCCTTACCCCTGCAGGTACTTGGACATGATGTTCGATGAAGCGAGCGGCATCAGGAGGCAAGACGTCGGATACACTTTCTCCTCCGTGGCTGAGAACGACGTGGGTCGCGACTTAGCCTGGTATTACCTCAGGGACCAGTGGGAGATAATCTCTACTTAGTGAGTAATGTGTAACAAGACTTGTTTTGAAACTGTGCGTTGTTGAACACCCCAACCATCACAAGAGGTTTGGTAAAAAAAAAAATCTTTAAAATGTGTGACTGTGAATGAGAATCTTCTTTGGCATACACATGTTTCTCACATACTGTATTTCTGAGAAAGTCTTAGGCAGTGTTACCACTTTACACCATTGTATTTATAGTTGAAAGCTGTTTTCATAGCTCAGCTTCTTTCGAAGTCCAGCCCTAACTAATGTAAACTATCACACACGTAAGATGTAGGTAGGAGTGGTTACCACAGGTAAGATGTAGGTAGGAGTGGTTACCACAGGTAAGATGTAGGTAGGAGTGGTTACCACAGGTAAGATGTAGGTAGGAGTGGTTACCACAGGTAAGATGTAGGTAGGAGTGGTTACCACAGGTAAGATGTAGGTAGGAGTGGTTACCACAGGTAAGATGTAGGTAGGAGTGGTTTACCACAGGTAAGATGTAGGTAGGAGTGGTTACCACAGGTAAGATGTAGGTAGGAGTGGTTACCACAGGTAAGATGTACGTAGGAGTGGTTACTACAGGTAAGATGTAGGTAGGAGTGGTTACCACAGGTAAGATGTAGGTAGGAGTGGTTACCACAGGTAAGATGTAGGTAGGAGTGGTTACCACAGGTAAGATGTAGGTAGGAGTGGTTACCACTGACCCACCAGCTACCATATTTTAGGCAGTGTTACCACTTTTGAAATTATGTTGGCAACAACATCGTAGGATTTTTGGAAGATATCTGGAAACCAAAATAGAATTTGCAACAAAGTGTCTATTGCAGGTTTACTAGATTGCTCAGTCATATACAGAATATATAAAAACTGCAACTAGAAGTCCAAACAGATTTAACATACCTATATTTCTATAATGTTGTCTCTCAGGTACCACTTAAAAGACTGCTGACCAAAATAGCGATTCAGTATATAGGAGACAAAAATCAAGCCTGAATTCAAGATTGGCTAAGCAGTAAGAAACAACAAGTTGTTTTAAACAGAGAAATGTTTAAGTGGCTAGATATAAAGAGCGGAGTATCTAATGTACTGGTTCTTGGTACATAAATGATCTTCAAATAATTATATACATATTTATATATATATATATATATATATATATATATATATATATATATATATATATATATATATATATATATATATATACATATATATATTTCTTCTTCTTTCTTTCAACACACCGGCCGTATCCCACCGAGGCGGGGTGGCCCAAAAAGGAAAAAACGAAAGTTTCTCCTTTTTACATTTAGTAATATATACAGGAGAAGAGGTTACTAGCCCCTTGCTCCCGGCATTTTAGTCGCCTCTTACAACACGCATGGCTTACGGAGGAAGAATTCTGTTCCACTTCCCCATGGAGATAAGAGGAAATAAACAAGAATAAGAACTAGAAAGAAAATAGAAGAAAACCCAGAGGGGTGTGTATATATGTGCTTGTATGTGTAGTGTGACCTAAGTGTAAGTAGAAGTAGCAAGACGTACCTGAAATCTTGCATGTTCATGAAACAGAAAAAAGGACACCAGCAATCCTACCATCATGTAAAACAATTACATGCTTTCGTTTTACACTCACTTGGCAGGACGGTAGTACCTCCCTGGGCGGTTGCTGTCTACCAACCTACTACCTAGATATATATATATATATATTTATATATATATATATATATATATATATATATATACATACATATATATATATATATATATATATATATATATTATATATATATATATATATATATATATATATATATATATATATATATATATAATATATTGAAAATAAGAAAAAGTTTTGGAGTGAGATTAACAAGTTAAGGAAGCCTAGAGAACAAATGGATTTGTCAGTTAAAAAATACGAGAGGAGAGTTATTAAATGGATAGTTAGAGGTATTGGGAAGATGGAGGGAATATTTTGAGGAATTGTTAAATGTTGATGAAGATAGGAAGCTGTGATTTCGTGTATAGGGCAAGGAGGAATAACATCTTGTAGGAGTGAGGAAGAGCCAGTTGTGAGTGTGGGGGAAGTTCGTGAGGCAGTAGGTAAAATGAAAGGGGGGTAAGGCAGCCGGGATTGATGGGATAAAGATAGAAATGTTTAAAAGCAGGTGGGGATATAGTTTTGGAGTGGTTGGTGCAATTATTTAATAAATGTATGGAAGAGGGTAAGGTACCTAGGGATTGGCAGAGAGCATGCATAGTTCCTTTGTATAAAGGCAAAGGGGACAAAAGAGAGTGCAAAAATTATAGGGGGATAAGTCTGTTGAGTATACCTGGTAAAGTGTATGGTAGAGTTATTATTGAAAGAATTAAGACTAAGACGGAGAATAGGATAGCAGATGAACAAGGAGGCTTTAGGAAAGGTAGGGGGTGTGTGGACCAGGTGTTTACAGTGAAACATATAAGTGAAGAGTATTAAGATAAGGCTAAAGAGGTCTTTGTGGCATTTATGGATTTGGAAAAGGCGTATGACAGGGTGGATAGGGGGGCAATGTGGCAGATGTTGCAGGTGTATGGTGTAAAAGGTAGGTTACTGAAAGCAGTGAAGAGTTTTTACGAGGATAGTGAGGCTCAAGTTAGAGTATGTAGGAAAGAGGGAAATTATTTCCCAGTAAAAGTAGACCTTAGACGAGGATGTGTGATGTCACCGTGGTTGTTTAATATATTTATAGATGGGGTTGTAAGAGAAGTAAATGCGAGGGTCTTGGCAAGAGGCGTGGAGTTAAAAGATAAAGAATCACACATAAAGTGGGAGTTGTCACAGTTGCTCTTTGCTGATGACACTGTGCTCTTGGGAGATTCTGAAGAGAAGTTGAAGAGATTGGTGGATGAATTTGGTAGGGTGTGCAAAAGAAGAAAATTAAAAGTGAATACAGGAAAGAGTAAGGTTATCAGGATAACAAAAAGATTAGGTGATGAAAGATTGGATATCAGATTGGAGGGAGAGAGTATGGAGGAGGTGAATGTATTCAGATATTTGGGAGTGGACGTGTCAGCGGATGGGTCTATGAAAGATGAGGTGAAGCATAGAATTGATGAGGGGAAAAGGGTGAGTGGTGCACTTAGGAGTCTGTGGAGACAAAGAACTTTTTCCTTGGAGGCAAAGAGGGGAATGTATGAGAGTATAGTTTTACCAACGCTCTTATATAGGGCGTTCTGCTTGAAGGACAGGAGTAGGAGACAGAGAGTTTGCTTTCCTGGGGCTGGGATGGAGGATATTGTTAGCCGTCTGGATGACATCATGAGAGGTAATGTGAGCAATCCTATTATCTGTCTCAGTGCTGGAGGCAACGATGTTGGCAGACGTAGGAGTGAGGACCTGATTAGCAGGTATAGGTCAGCAATAGAAATAATTAGAAGTAAGGGTGGGAACCCTCTCATATGTGGTATTTTGCCAGGAGGGGAGTTGGAAGTGAATGGTTGTCCAGGGAAATTTGGGTGTCAATTGCGGGCTGGACCAAATCTGTAAGGAAAATGCGGAAACCATTCATTGACAACCTGGGCCCTCTTCTATGGCAGAAATGACATTTTCTGCTAGGATGGGGTTCACTTATCTAGGTGTGGGGTGGGAGCACGGCAACTGCAGTGGAGGAGCAGTTAGGACTTTAAACTAGAATAGTTAGTGGTAGGGGTTTTGGGCAGAAAACAGTGAAGCCCCCAGTGTAGTAATATTACGAGTTCTAGGGAACTAGTAATAATAAATGAACGAGATAGATATTGAAAAGCCAGGGACCTTGGGTGAAAAGGAAACAGTAATAATGGGTTTTAAAGTAGAAAAAAGAAATGAGCAGGAAGGGTAAAGAGAAAGGGAGAGTCTTTCAATGTTTATTAGCTAATTGCCGTAGTGCTAGGAATAAAAAGGACGAGTTGAGATTAGTTGCTAGTGTAGGTAACATTGATGTATTTGCCTTAACTGAGACGTGATTTAATTCAAAAAGTCGGGACATCCCTGCGGAATATCATATTCAGGTTTTAAATTGTTCCAAGAAGATAGAAGTATTGGGAGGGGGGGTGGGGTGGCATGAAATGTCCGAGATCGCTTGAAACTGTTGCTAAAAAACGGGTATTAAGTCTGAAGTAACACATACAGAGTCTGTTTGGATAGAATTTTCAGAGGGACATGAAAAACTGATTTTAGGATTGATATACCGTCCCCTAAACTTAGATAGGGACCAAGGGAAACTACTATGGAGGAAATTGTTAAGGCCACAAGGCACGATAATTTTAGTAATCTAGGAGACTTTAACTTTAGTCATGTTGATTGGAATTTCTTGACTGGGAATTTAAATCGTACGACTTCTTAGAAGTATTTCAGGATTGTTTTTTGAACAGTTTGTGACAGAACCTACAAGGGGAAATAACCGCTTGACTTATTTTAGGGCCCCAAACAATGAATCCCTTGTTAATAATTTAGAAATTTCAGAGGAACGGGGTGCTAGCGACCACAAATCAATTACATTTAGCATTGAATGGAAGTACGATAGTAGCGATAACTCAGTAACAGTCCCAGATTTTCGCTTAGCAGATTACGATGGGCTTAGAGAACACTTATCATCTGTTGACTGGGGTAACGAAGAGAGCTATCAATAGACAGTTTTCTGAACACTATACATGCGCTCAAAGAGCGTTTTTCCCATATAAAGAATTAGATCAAATAGAGAAAAGACCCAATGGATGAATAATAGGCCAAATATCTACTAGGGCATAAGAAAGGAATTTATAGGCGTATCAAAAAAGGTGAGGGTCATCTTATGAATCAGTATATTGACATTAAGAGGACATTAAAAAGGGGATAAGGAAAGTTAAAAGGGGCTATGAAATTAAAGTTGCTAGGGATTCTAAAACTAACCCAAAAAGTTTTTTCCAGGTCTATAGAACAAAAGTTAGAGATAAGATAGGTCCCCTTAAAAATAACTATGGGCACCTTACTGACAATGAGAATGAAATGTGCTTGATTTTAAATAATTATTTTCTCTCAGTTTTTACACAGGAAGACACTAACAATATTCCAGTAATTAATTTTTACAGTGGGCTAGAAGAAGATAAATTATGTAACATCACAGTCACTAGTGAGATGGTTGTGAGGCAGATAGACAGACTGAAGCAAAATAAGTCGCCGAGTTTTTAAGGAATGCAAAATGGAACTCTGTGAACCATTAACTAATATTTTTAATTTATCTCTTCAAACAGGTGTAGTGTCTGATATGTGGAAGATGGCTAATGTAACTCCCATTTTTAAACAGGGGACAAGTCGTTACCGTCAAATTACCGCCCAATAAGCCTGACCTCAATTGTAGGCAAATTACTAGAGTCAATTATAGCTGAGATTATAAGAAGCCATCTCGATAAGCATAGCTTGATTAATGATACTCAGCATGGATTCACAAGAGGCCGGTCTTGTCTAACTAATTTTTTAACTTTCTTCAGTAAAGCTTTTGAGGCTGTTGACCACAATAAAGAATTTGATATTATTTACTTAGATTTTAGTAAGCTTTTTATAGAGTTCCGCACCATAGACTGTTAAAGAAAGTGGCAGCTCATGGCATTGGGGGAAAAGTGCTCTCGTGGATCGAGTCATGGCTCACTGACAGGGAAACAGAAAGTGTCCATAAAAAGGGGTTAAATCCGAGTGGGGATCTGTAACAAGTGGCGTTCCACAGGGATCAGTCTTGGGCCCGTTTTGTTTATAATATATATCAATGATCTTTATGAGGGGAATTACTAGTGATATGAGCAAATCGCCGATGACACAAAGATAGGTAGGATAATTGATTCAAAAGTTGATGTTAGGGAACTTCAGAGGATTTAAACAAACTCTATTCTTGGTCAGAAAAGTGGCAGATGCAGTTCAATGTAGATAAATGCAAGGTTCTGAAGCTTGGGAGTGCCCATAACCCTAGTACTTATAAATTAAATGATGTAGAACTTAGCCATACAGATTGCGAAAAGGACTTGGGGGTTATGGTGAGCAGCAACCTTAAACCAAGACAGCAATGCCTAAGCGTACGTAATAAGGCAAATAGATTACTGGGATTTATATCAAGAAGTGTAAGCAACAGAAGTCCAGAGGTCATACTGCAGCTTTATACATCATTAGTAAGGCCTCACCTTGATTATGCAGCTCAGTTCTGGTCTCCGTATTACAAAATGGACATAAATTCGTTAGAAAACATTCAGCGTAGGATGACTAAATTAATACATAGCATCAGAAATCTTCCTTATGAAGAAAGATTGAAGACTCTTAAGTTACATTCACTTGTTAGACGAAGAATGAGGGGAGACCTGATCGAAGTGTATAAGTGGAAGATGGGTATTAATAAAGGGGATATTAATAAGGTCTTGAGGATGTCTCTCCAAGAGAGAACGCGCAGTAATGGATTTAAATTAGATAAGTTTAGATTTAGAAAGGACATAGGAAAGTATTGGTTTGGAAATAGGGTAGTTGATGAGTGGAACAGTCTACCTAGTTGGGTTATTGAGGCTGGGACTTTGGGTAGTTTCAAATCTAGGTTGGATAAGTACATGAGTGGGAGGGGTTGGATTTGAGTGGGACTTTCACATCAGAGCTTATTTCTTGGGTGGCATTGAAAATTGGGTTGGGCAAATGTTTTGTTAGTGGGATGAATTGTAAAGGACCTGCCTAGTATGGGCCAGCAGGCCTCCTGCAGTGTTTCTCCTTTCTTATGTTCTTATGTTCTTATGTTCTTATATGGGTGTGAAGCATGGATGATAAATGTTGCAGCGAGGAGAAGGCTGGAGGCAGTGGAGATGTCATGTCTGAGGGCAGTGTGTGGTGTGAATATAATGCAGAGAATTCGTAGTTTGGAAGTTAGGAGGAGGTGCGGGATTACCAAAACTGTTGTCCAGAGGGCTGAGGAAGGGTTGTTGAGGTGGTTCGGACATGTAGAGAGAATGGAGCGAAACAGAGTGACTTCAAGAGTGTATCAGTCTGTAGTGGAAGGAAGGCGGGGTAGGGGTCGGCCTAGGAAAGGTTGGAGGGAGGGGGTAAAGGAGGTTTTGTGTGCAAGGGGGCTCACAACAGACGAGACCATGGCCCGTGACTCCCCAAACAGATATCCTCAGGTGCACCCACAACTACCACGACAAACTGTGGATCAAGACACTTCTGTACAGTTCAGAAAATTTATTTCAGGAAAAGTTTTGTTATGAGTGGCTTCTTATGTCCTAATGGAGAAGCCTCTCGTGGCGAATTGTATTATATAATAATGTTCTAAATGGTAAATAATATTCTTTATACACAATAGTCAATGTGTAGCAATAATCACACAGCGGATATTTTAACAAGTGTTGTTCTCCCTTTCACCAGCTTGGGTACCTTCACCACGTTGGGTGATCTTCTCCTCACAGTCACCAAAGAGTTCAACACGCGTGAGAAGAAGCACGAGGTAGGTGTTTCTTCTTATTTTCTTTATTTTTCAAGTACTTTTGTAATGCAAGGGAAAAGATGTAATAATGCGGAAGTATGCACCAGGGCGGTAAGACGCGGTCGGTATTATCAGGCTTTCAGAAGATCTGACAAGAATACAAAGAGAAACAGTTGTGGTTAATAAGAAAATCTATAATTGTAATGGCATGTTTTTAAATAAAATATAAAAAAATAAGAAAATCTACACAGAGAAGACTATTTCAACATAATGCAACTACCGATGCACTGCCAATGACTTTGGGCCTGAAATCCCTAATATATAACAGGGTTTTAGAGAGATTTTTCTTTAGAGTTCTGGCCTGAAGTCATTGAAAATGAAGTGGTAGTTATTTTATGTAAAAATAATTGTTTTTCAATGTGAATAATCCAGTGTGTAATCTTGTCAATTCTTACTCACCCTTGCTTCACATAGTATACTTTTTTTGGTAGGTTTGTTAATGTTGAGGGTTCTCTTACCTCTTATTGTCAGTCATGACAGCACTGACTGTTTCAACATCTTATGAGAATTTTAGATTGAAAGCTTAAAACCCCATAATTAATTAGAATTCATTTATCATTTATCAGTTGGAGGTGTTTAAGATGGACCACGCAGATGCCTTGGAAACCGCTGAGCTAGCCGTTGATCAGGCCATTGAAAGAACTGGCAACAACATTGCCTGGATGGACCACAACTATGACGCCATTGTTGAGTGGCTCAATGTTCATGGCTACGCTTCTCAGCTCAGCCGCCACTGACCTCAGCGCTACTGACCTCAGCGCTACTGACCTCAGCGCTACTGACCTCAGCGCTACTGACCAGTGTCACGAGTGGGACTCCCTGTAATTCTTGCTCTTAGTAGCCATATAAACGATTTGTCTTTTATAGTAATTTCACAGAGCGTACACTCACAGACAGAGACACACAGACACAGATACAGACACACACACACGCACACACACACACACACACACACACACACACACACACTCACACACACACACACACACACACACACACACACACACACACACACACACACAGGCCAGGAGCTTGGACTCGACCCCTGCAACCTCAACTAGGAGAGTATAGACACACACAGACACACATACACAGACAGACAGACAGACAGACACACACACACACACACACACACATACACACAGAAACGCACACACGCACACGCGCACACACACACATACACACACACACACACACACACACACACACACACACACACACACACACACACACACACACACACCACGGGGGGCCAGGAACTGAGTCTCGACCCCTGCAACCACAATTAGGTGAGTACACACACACACATACACCCTACCGACCTCAGATAAGTCATAGCGATGAGACGGCTGTCAGGAAGTGGAACAATCTGGAGAGTGTAGTAGTAAAGGCGAGATCCACACATAGCTTTAAGAAGAGGTACTATGAGCCTCTTAGATTCGGGAGTAGACTTAGTACCAGTCAGCATAGAGGCGGGGCCAGGAGCTGTGAATCGACCTCTGCAAACACATGTAGGTGAGTACACATACATACGCAGAATGTGCATGAATTGAGTTGACAGGGTTTAAAAAATAAGATAAAATGTCGTCATAATTTTGATAGAGCAGCTACTTCCAAAACCTTCCAGTGAACATCGACATTTCGAATATAATTAAAAAATAAAGATCAAATTCTTTTAGAAATCGTATTCCTGAAACAAAACACTTTCTAGAAAATGTTTACATCGGTAGCACTAATACAAATTTAAATATTGAAGCAAAAAATAAAAAAAAAATGTGGCCCAGCTGCATAAATAATTATGAGATGATACGAATTAACAGATAAAGATAATTTCTTCTTACCGCCGACAGAACAATAAAAGAAGATAATTGAAAACAAAAAAGGCAGAACCGAATGTGTACTATATAAATTTTCTGGAAAACAACCACTGTGGTAACACCTGCTTATTGCATATACAAATTTTATATACAAAAAAAGCACTAATTATTGAATCCGCGCACATTTTCACTGACGGCAGTTACTTAAGTCAACGACTTGTATTACGAGTATTCAGTCTTGTGATGTAAATTCATCCTGCTTATTCCATACTTATGGGCTATGATGACTATAAGACTACATTAGGGCACTTTGGATTGTCAGTTGTTATCTGTAGCACACATGTGCTGATTGTGTCCTGGTTCATACAGTATTCATCCCGCACATCTATGGAAAAAAATAGAGGGGTATTGACTACACAACTCTGCTTCTGTAAGTACAAATAGTTACATTTGTACATACAGTATATACTTTGAGAGTATTTAATATATTTTTTCAACATACAACGTTAAGTAATAATAAATTTGTCCCAGATAGAAACATCTTTCAATTTATACACCATTTATACACCGAGTATTTATCATTATAATGTGTGACTAATATTTTACAAAAAATTAGGTTATTTATCTTCTTGGGAAATTCAGGTCAGTAAATTATGAAATATGAAGTGTATTTTTATATATGATCTGGCGAAAATTTTCTGAAATTCTCATGCGCAATTTGTTGCCTCTGGGTCTGCCCCTCTGACATTACGGTTTCTAGGTAGAGAGAAGTGTGCCGGGGTTCATCCTGCTCCCTGAGGTTCCTCAGGTGTGGTGTAGTTTGTCGTGGAATCTGGATTATCTGGAGGCGCCCTGCTCCTTTCACGGATTTCCAAGAAGTGAGCAGGGTGTCTTGCAGGTGACAGGGTGTAACTCCAGAGGCTGCCTGTCGGTTCTGGGAGGTGGCAGCCGAAGAAGGTATGCTTTGTGGCAGGTTTCCGACCACCCTCTCTTTCTTTTGTCCGCCGAGGTGGTTCTGTAGATGTGAGGTTGCTATCCCGGAGCGTTTGTTTACTGGCGTGAAGTGTAGGGTATGGCACGCCACGCTGCATCTGCACTGCTTACGGTCTCGAGGTCCTCTCGGATGAGAGAGGGAACTTACGGCCCACTTTTTTTCTTTCCTTCTTTCTTTTTTTTCTATAAAATAATAAAAAAGAAGTACCACTATCATGGAGACTTCGTTCTGTGATAACCCTCCCCTCAGGCCCTTTTCTGTTACTACATCTGTTACCACAGGAGGCCTGGTCACAGACCGGGCCGCGGGGGCGTTGACCCCAGGTAAACTCCAGGTAAACATCCTTTCCTGACCCGGCTTCGTTATTGGACCATTCTCCAGACTTCCCATACCCCTGTACCTTCTGCTGGTGATGCTTCATCACCTGCTATAGGTGCTGAGGCTCTGCCCGTTTCTGCTAGTGCCTCTGCCTCTTGCACACCTTTAACTATGCGTCCGGCTTCCCCGATTACGGTGCGACGATTTTTGGATCGTCCGCCTACCTCGGCTAAGGCCACCAGTGGTACTACGCCTAAACGTTCCAGACGATCTGCTGATGGCTCATTCCACCCAGAAACTACCTATGCGATACCCACTTCCTTTATGCACCATGTTTAAATGTATGCAGTGGACTAAATTCTTTTCCCTAAAACCGACATTTCCAACTGATTATCTTTCTGGTCAAAGTCTTGGTAAAGCTCTTTTATGACACGTTGGCCAAAATATATCTTTTCACACTCTTCGAAGCATTGCGTGCGTTGTTACAGTTCAGAATGCAGAACTAGCTCATGATCTTTCCCATCTTACTTCCATTGATAACATTCCAGTCACAGTTCACAAGCATGCTACTCTCAATTTTTGCAGTGGTACGGTGGTTTTACCGTGTACCATTGTAGTGAGTGATTTTCTGTCTTGCGGTGATAATATTTTGGAGTAATTAGCCCTTCAGGACCTTCCAGTTCTCAAAGTGGATACATATGTCCTGCCTGCTCGCGGGCGGAGGTGCTTACCCAGTAACATCGCCAGCCTAGCCTTAACTACTGTGAACTACTGTCCTCCGTTTTATATCGCGGGCCATCACTTAGAGGTCCGTAAAGTGGTTCCTACTCCCCAACAGTGTCGATATTGCTGGCACTTTGGACACCTCGCTAATTACTGCAGATCTGTGGTGGAGTGCCCGGTCTTTGGTGCCACGGATCATGCCGATACAGCTTGCAGTCTTCCCCCCACCTGTCTCAATTGTTATGAACCTCATCCTTCTTTTTTCGCCGATGTCAGGTCTATCTTAATGAACGAGAAATCCGTTGTCTGAAGAAGAGCGAAGGCCTTACTTATGCTTTGGCTGTCTCTCGGCTCCGCCTTCAAGGGAATCTTCCTCATGTCCCTTATTCTCGAGCAGCTAGGAGACCTCCAACCTTGGCGATCCCTCGCCTACCAGCTCCTCTGGGGTCGTGTCATCCGGGGTCACCCCTGTCTCTAATTATTTTGGGGTTTTACCCTCTGAAACGCCCACCTCCTTACCTATTCCTACCTCTGCTTCTTCTTCTTGCCCACTAGTTTCTCAGTCTGCAAGGCCTCGCGTGCCTGCATCTTCGCGCCTATCACCTGCGAAGTTTAACCTGTCTCATAAGCCCAAATCTCTTCGCATTCCTCCAGTGCTTACAATTCCCCATAAGTTTTCCTTTTTGGCCTCGGTGTCTAGTTCTTGCCCCCTTTCTCACACGAAAGTGGAGGTTCACCCCTCCTCATATGGTCCCTTCTTCTCCTGTTCTCCTCCAGACTTCTTCCCCAGTTACCTTCGAGCCTCCTTCTCCTGTTCCACAGCAGGACTCTTCTGTCCCCACCGGCGCATCTCTCCAGGTTCATACTCCCCTTCCCTCTCAGACCTCTTTGGTTCCCTCCATAGTTTCCCCGATCTCTACTTGCTTTACCTCCCCTGCGTGTGAAGTCGTGGTATCGGCATTTTCCTTATCTGCTGAGACACTCGACGCAATCTCCGACTATATTGCAGAGACGAAACCCTCGATGGACACCGGAGCGCCTCATTCTACCCATTCTCATTTTTCACGACCCTCGCAACAATCTTTTCCTTCACAGCATTTTTATTCCTCCTTGCTCGCACACTTTCCGTTGCCTCCACACATTGACTTCACTGATTCTAATAGCCCATGGGTTTTATCGCTTCTCATTGTTGGTATAAATGTCTTTGTGAATAATGACTTATTTACAGTGGAATATTCGTGACCTCAGGTAATCGGGGAGAGCTCCAGGTGTTGCTCTCCCAGTTTTCCTCAGTATGTGTCGGGTTACAAGAGCCTAAAATTCGTTTAGCTGTTATTCGTCCCGTTTCGGGATATGTGCTGTTGCATTCTTTTGATCCCTTTCCTAATGAATCATTTAATGGGAGTGTGCTTCCTGTGCACGTGGGTATATCGCATCAAAAGGTCTTTGTTCGTTCTCTGCTGCATTATACTGCAGCCCGTATTTATTTGCATAGATGGTATACAGTTTGCTCTCTCTATCTCTTCCCTTCCTGTGCATTCTGTATCTCGGATATTACGTTCTTGATCTCTTCTCTGCCGCCGCCCATCTTGTTACGTGATTGTAACGCTTACCATCATCTTTGGGGAGGGTCCCACTGTGACTCTCGTGGTGATCAGTTGGAAAGACTTCTCACTTGTCATCCTCTTCATGCTTTAAATACGGGTGCTCCCACCCACTTTGACTCTTGCACTCGGTCTCTCTCTTGCACTGATCTTTGTATCTGCTCTTCGTCACACTTGATTATGCTTGGTCAGTTGTCCCTGATTTGCACGACAGTGACCATTTTCCGGTTCTTCTTGCTTCTACTATGTATTCCCGACTGCCTCGTAGCCCACGTTTGCAGTTTGGACGAGCGAGTTGGAGCTTATACTCTCATCTTACCGCTTTTTGTGGGGACCCTTCTTAGTCTTCTATTGATGAGCTGGTGCACCAGTTTTCGACCTTAGTTTTGACTGCATCATCACGTTCTATTCTTCAAACCTCAGGCAGGCATTCTTAGACATGCGTGCCTTGGTAGTCTCCTGCGTGTACCCATGCAGTATGTTTGAAACGTGCTGCATGGGGCCGTTATCGATATAATCGGACCTCGGTTCGTCTTTTGGATTTTAAGTGGACAAGGGCTGTCACTCGACGCATAATACGCGACGCTAAACGTTCTGTTGGCAAGACTGTGTCTACCATTACCTCGACTTCCCCTATGTGTGCGGTTTGGAAGAAGGTACGGAAGTTGTGTAGCAAGTACGCTTCGGACCCAGCTCCTTTTCTGCAGGTTGCTGGTGTTATGTTACGGAGCCTCTTGAAGTAACCACGGAAATCGGGAACTATCTTGTCCCTGTCTCCCAAGGGCTTCACCTCTGTCCCTTATTTCTCGTGTTTAAGTCTACCAGGGAGAAATTTCCCTTGGATTTCTCTTCAAATGGAATGGAGCCATATAACGTACCTTTCACTCTCCTAGAGCTAGATTCCACGCTTTCCGCTTGCCAATCATCGGTAGCTGCGCCTGATGATATTCATATCAGTATGCTACAACATCTGCATTCTACAGCCCTTACAGTCCTTTTGCGTCTTTTTTTAATCTTATTTGGATGCGAGGGGTTCTCCGTCAACAATGGAAATCTGCCATTGTACCTCCGTTTCGCAAACCAGGCACCTCAGGGCTTGATACCTCTCACTATCGTCCCATTCCTCTGACCAGTGTAGTCAGTAAGGTGATGGAACGATTAATGAATAGACGTCTTATATGGTATTTGGAGACTCACAATAGTCTTTCTCCTCACCAATACGGCTTTCGCAAGGGCCTCTACTCTAGACCCTTTGCTCCACTTAGATACGTATGTGAAAAATGCCTTTGCTAACAAACACTCCGTTCTAGCAGTCTTTTTTTTTATATTGCGAAGGCATATGACATCAATTGAAGGAATAACATTTTAGCCCAGGCCCACTCCTTAGGCCTCCCCGGTAATCTACCAAACTTCCTTGCTGTTTTCATATCTGACAGATATTTTCATGTCCTTGTTGGCGCCTCGTTTTCCTCAGATTTTGTTCAGGCCGAGGGAGTCCCACAAGGTTGTGTCCTTATTACTACCCTTTTTCTCTTGGCTATAAATGACCTACCTTTCGTTATTCCATCGCACATTTGGTTGTCACTTTATGTGGATGACTTCGCTATAGCTTACTCAGGCGCTGACTGTTGCCTGGTAGTGGCCTCCCTTCAGGATGCGATTGACCGAGTTTCCCACTGGGCCACTTCTCGTGGATTTAAATTTTCCATTACGAAAACCCATTTCAGTACCTTCACTAGACGTCCTCTTGTCCCACATATTCCCTTGTATTTACATGGCTCACGTATTCCAGAATGTAATACTGTCAAGTTTCTTGGCCTTCTCTTCGATCGCCGGTTGATATGAAAACCTCACATTTCCTCTTTGGAGGCAGCTTGCCATGGTCGGCTGATTCTCCTCAAAATTCTTCTGCATCGCTCATGGGAAGCAGATCACCAGACTCTCCTCCGTTTGCATTCCACCCTAGTCTTGTCCGAGCTGGATTATGGCAACCAGGTCTATTCTGCGGCTTCTCCTACAACTCTTTCTAAGTTAGATCCCCTTCATCATCAGGGTCTACGTTTATGCCTTGATGCCTATCGTTCATCCCCTGTTTAAGGCCTCTGCTGTAGTGTTCCTTCATTATGTTCTTAAAACAATAATCAGTGACCTGAATAATGTTATATTATCTTACACTGACTCTTGCTGGTGTATTTGGTGATATTGGTCTCTGTGGGATAATTTAAAACTGTCTCTTCTGATTGACTTTAAATTTTCAAAGTTGGTAAAGCTTGCTCAGAGGAACATTCGAAATGATTTTAGGCAGTGTGAGTGCCATTTTGTAATTTCTGTTGACGAAATTGGGATATCAGTTTCCATGTGATAACTAGTGAATGCCTCTACTGATTGGCTTCATCTCTTCAATGTTGATATTTAACTACATTCTAAACCAGTGTTGTACTCTCTATTAATCCGTTTGCCTGCATTGAACTAGAGGAGGCTGGGCTTATGGGATACGGGGGGATACCTTTCTTGGATCACGCAGCAACCGTAATACATCTAGTTTTATATTACACACAGAATGCTCATTACACGGTATATTACTAGAGAAGAAAGTGAAAACAATAGATAAATTTAAATCACAATAGGATACTATTTCGTGTTTTGCTAATTTTTTTCGGAGATTTAATTTCAACATCATTTACAGCGTACTGATGCTCTTACCCTAGTTTTCCTTTTTAAATGTCCCACCTTTTAAGTCAGATATGATTTCATGGCTGAAAGTGACTCAAGACACTAACTTTGACATTCCTCTTTAATACACACTTTTCTTTGAAATTAGCACCCCGTTGCTCATTTTTTTGTAAATATACTATTACTACCACTATTACTGTTACTACTACTACGGGATGATGTTCTCAGGAATATGCGAGAGACTGCAGATGCGATATGACTCGGAAACTATCCCTCTCTTTGTGCCCCAGTAATTTGAGGTGGCCTACTCCTGCCAGAACATACTTAGATTTTAAGCCTGACTACAGCAACATTAGCCAGTGTACGCTGCAAGTGTAAACTGACTGATGCCACATTAGTTGCATATGTGTTCTTCTACCTGACACATTGCAAGTTGCTTCCTAAAGATGCTTATATACGTTCATGTTATCATAGAGTGTGAAGGATGTACTTAGGCTTCTGACTGTATTCCTATGATATTCAAATTCATAATTTACTTCTCTCCTAATATTATTTCTAACTGACTGATATACCAAAGATATATATTCTCCATTTTCCCTGTGAGTACTTTCGCTAATTTATCGACTTAATCATGTACGAGTTTTTGAGTGTGTAATAGAATTCTTAAGAATTGTGCATTAATTCCATTTTATCTAATTCTTGAATACCTATACTTGGCTTCTTCAGTGAGCATGTTATTAGAGTCATTGACAGAGCGAACTCAGGTCTCGCCTTTATTTCACGACTGTCTGAGTGATCGAGGTCTGGGGTCAAGCTGTGCCACCAGTTATTTTCACACTGTGGCCTATTAATATGGAGTGTGGAAGTATTAAATGATCCCATTGATAATTTTGCAGTGATTTAATTAATATTAGGCGACAAGAATTTATCGTGACGCCAACTTCAGACATAACAACCATGACTTTAGAACTTAAGAAATTAAACAAAAATTCATTGTACACATTTTTTAACTGTCATACTAATTTGAGTTCCATTAAAAGGAGAAAGAATTAATTGTAATTCATAATTATGCTTGAGGGTTTGTGAGCCTCGTAACCATGGTCTTGAAGCCACTGAACAATAACTTCGTAGTTGTGGTCCAGCCAGGCAATATTGTTTCCAGTTCTTTCAATGGCTTGATCAACGGTTTGCTCAGCTGCTCCCAGCTCGCCAGCATGATCCGCCTTGAACACTTCCAACTGGTGAAGCAGAGAAATGTTAATTAATTCAGTGGTTTAAAACAACGTTCGTGTGTGCTGAGTTAGACTACAGTGAGGTAGCGTATCTGTCTCATGACTTAAGGTGTTGAAATTTGTTTAAAACCTTCCGCCATATGGTGTGTGAAACTTTGGATTGGCTGTTTCACTGTTTTGTCAGTATTTAGAATAAGTGTTCGGCAAAGTTGGGTTATAATTTTCAGTTGATAGAATAATGTATTAAGTCAGTTTTTCAACAGAGATAGTTTTATTTTGTGCATTTTGACCAAAATATTTGTCAGTAAATTTGGACATCTGTGTTTAGTTCAGGATATTTATTGAAGGAAATGTTTCGCCAGGAGTCTTTAACCAGTCCCGTCATTAGGAATAACAAAATTTTTCCTGGTGAAACGTTTCTTCATTTTAACGTTTTGAACTGGGCTCAAGTGGTGTCCTCTTCCATAGATTTAGTTAGGTTAAGTCAGATTATTTTACATTATTTAATGTTAGGTTACATTAGGTAACTAAACTAACAACCCAGCCCAACCCAACCTAACCCAAAATAGCCGAAACTAGTGGAACCCAATTAATCCCAATCCAACCCAAGCTAACCTAACCTAACCGTACCTCAACACAGTCTTAACCTATTATATGGCTGCACTGGGGTTTGATAAGTTGGGTGGAGTTGGATTTTGTTGGGTTATGTATCTTTAACATTAGTTGGTTTATGTTAGTTTGAGATACCTTATGTAACAAAAACTAACTTATCCTTACCTAACGTAACCAAATCTAATCTAAACTAAGTGAATCTAACCATCCTAATCTAATGCAAAAAAATATATATAGTGTAGGTATTTAAATGGCATTTACTAGGCTGTTATGGTGTCAGAAGAATATCTCGCAGTTGTTTTTCTGCTTTAGTGAATATGTCCCGATCATTAAATTTTCTCCTCGTATTACATATGTACATTGAACAATACGCAATATACAGAGAAAAACCCACCTCGTGTTTCTCCTCATTAGTGTTGAACTCGTAAGATACTGCTAAGATCATATCTCCCACCTTGGATACGATACCAATGCTGTTGTGGGGAAGAGAGACAACAGACTTAGATTATAAAACCTTCCATGGGATCTATACACCTCGTTAATACAAATATCTAATGAACCAATCATGTGGCAGCACCTCAGTGCCTAAATGCATGCAGATATGGTCAAGAGATTCTGTTGTTGTCTATACCAAACATCAAACTAGGGAAGAAATGTTATCTCAGTGACTGGAGTAAAATTTTAATAGTAAAATTTTCGAAGTAAAGTAATAATAGGTTACCTCAGTAGATGATCTCTCATAACCAATGAGTGATTTTTTTTTCTGAGGACTTCATCGTGTGAAAATATTTTTATTATATTTATTATTTACAATAACCAACCAAAAATAGATGATCTCTCTAGAGACAATGTTAATAATTTCGCCTGTTTGCGAATTGTTAAGTATTTCAAATCTCTTTCATTGTCCACTGCATGTGGTAGGATTCGATGAACTAACTTTCAAAACGAGCTTGGTGCCCGGGGGTATGATGCCCGGGGGTGTGGTGCCCGGGGGTGTGGTGCCCGGGGGTTTGGTGCCCGGGGGTATGGTGCCCGGGGGTATGATGCCCGGGGGTGTGGTGCCCGGGGGTGTGGTGCCCGGGGGTTTGGTGCCCGGGGGTATGGTGCCCGGGGGTATGGTGCCCGGGGGTATGGTGCCCGGGGGTGTGGTGCCCGGGGGTATGGTGCCCGGGGGTATGGTGCCCGGGGGTATGGTGCCCAGGGGTATGGTGCCCGGGGGTATGGTGCCAGGGGGTATGGTGACCGGGGGTATGGTGCCAGGGGGTATGGTGCCCGGGGGTATGGTGCCCGGGGGTATGGTGCCCGGGGGTGTGGGTCCCGAGGGTGTGGTACCCGGGGGTATGGTGCCTGGGGGTATGGGGAAACATCGCTTAGCTTCGGCTAAGCGCCCATACTTATCGCGTGTCTAGCTCTGTGGTAAAGTACTGTGGACTCTGATACAGAGTTAGCAGGTTCGAGTCCTACTGTGGACGTACAGACAATGTTTGTAAATAATTTCGCCTGTTTGCAAATTGTTAAGCATATATATATAAAGGTGTAAACAATGTCTAGTGAACCTCCCTGCTATTAAGTTGTCTTGAAATTATTCCATGAGAAAGTTAATTAACTGTGCCACTCACTTTAAAAGTTTATACATGATGGCTAGTGAATATAATAATGCTATGAGGAACAACTGTATACTCACTAATCATAAATTTGGTCCCACTGGTCCCTGAGGTAGTTCCAGGCTACGTCGCGGCCCACGTCGTTATCTGATATAGAGTAGAACACAGTAGGGGCGTCTCGCTTCTGTATGCTGCTACCCTCATAGAAGGTCATGTCTAAGTACCTGAAGGGGTAGAGCAAAGCGTAAAACTTTGGTCTCGATTATTTGTGGACACATTTATTTATTTTATTATCTATCTTCTATGTATTCAAATATTTTACAAAAGTAGTAACTGGAACGGCTGTTGTTGCTGTTGAAATATTTGACAATGAAAATCACCTGACTAAACCGACTTTGTCATATGATGCGCCTGTTAAGAGTAATATTGTCCTTACAGTGTGGGCGCTGAAAGAAGCAATAGCTGGCGCGCGATGTTATATACACGATGGTGTCTACTACTTGCCTTATTGGTGAGTCACGACAGAAAAAAAAAACCGCTGGCTTATCATTCAAACTTAATTTCAGAGCACTGAATAATTTATAATTTATTGCAACTGTAAACTTTGCAATCAAAACTATTAGGGATTCCAAAGCATATAAGTAACAGGATATTTAAATTTACCTAGACAAAATCCAGATCTCCTTGGTACATCCCAGAGCATAAAGTAGTGTTGATTTCTCAGAACCAACGTTGGAGGCGAGGTACTGGTTCCAGCCAAAGTTCCACTCCTCCTCACCACCAGCAGCAATAGCGGTGCAATACACTGTCCTCTTCAGGTTTGGTGAAACGATGCTGTCAGCAGAATTTTTTTTTTTTACAAATTAAATCATGGTGATAAAAAGCACAATAAATGATTTCATTATTTATGGGAATCATATTCTGCTGTTGTAAGATCAATCCCTACAAAATTCTTTGATTTTCAGAGTGATGCAATCATTGCATTTTGAGTGAAAGTATACATAACCAGGGGTCTGGAAGACTATGAATAACTATATTTTGTGAAAAGTAGATTTGAAGCACCAGGTATAACCTACCATTATGAGAATACAATAATCGTTACCTGTTCTTGTCCTGAATGATAGGGTAAGAGTCACATTTTGGGAACCCCAGTTTGATCCCCACAGAAATCCTTAATATTTATACGGAACAATAGTTTTCATTATACTTATCTCAAAACAGAAACAATAATAATCAAATAAACGGAACTCTAAAGATAAAAAACAAATATCACTGATAACTAGAAAGTTGCATGAATAGCAAGTCACAGTTCCGTGGCTGGAACAATTCACCAAGAAAGCGGATTGAATTGGAAAAATGTATTACTCTCGGGTAAGTTAACACACACTATTCCCAAATTCTCTATTCCCAAATTCTGAATAAGAAATACATATGATTGTCTGTTAAGGTAGTATACACTAACTGCAGACGGTAAAAGTAATTAACATGAAAAATCACCCAGTCATCAGTATCACATCCAGACCGATCACGAACTTGGTCATACACAACGTGTTCTTAAGATTCCACCAGAGACAACACAATAAGTGTCAGGGGCCCAAGACTGTTCGACTGCCTGCCAGCATACATAAGAGGGATTACCAATAAACCCCTGGCTGTCTTCAAGAGGGAGCTGGACAGGCACCTTAAGTTAGTTCCTGAAGAGTTTCCTTGTGAACGGCAGTAACAGCCTGGTTGATCAGGACCTGAACCATCGCGAGATCTGGTCAAGAACTGGGTTGCATGGACATTAACCCCTAGAACACCCTCCAAGTAAGCGCCAGGTATAATCTGGCGACCAGTCATTCACAGTGACACTAATCATAATATACCGTACTAACAAAATCGAAAAAGCTTTAAATTTTAAAATTGTATAAATTAATTAATTTATTTTATGAAAGCTGACTATCAGTTAGAAAAACTGAAATTATATGGTTGCAATAGCTTTTGATAAGCTGGGAGGGGTTGGATTATGTTGGGTTATGTATTTTTAAGATAAGTTGGATTACATTAGTTTGAGATACCTTATGTAACCATAACTAACTTATCCTTACCTAACGCAACCAAATCTAAGTGCTAAATGGCCTATGTGCTTTTTGAGAAGATATGCATAATTGACCGTGCAGGAAAATGAAAGCTACTGTTAACAGACTGACGAATAAGCAGCCAAACCTACTGAAATTCCTTTAAAATGCAACTACTAAGGTATGAAAATCCGAGGACAATGAATCACGTTTGCAAAGGATTAGTTTTCTTAAGAATTTTATTGTCTTCGAAAACCACAAACAAGAGAGACTATCACAACAATACTGAAGTTTTCTACTAAAGAAAGTTGCAAAGGAATAAATTTCAGTCTCACTGGAAACTTAAATCACCAGTAAACATTAACAGTAGATAAGTCACAACTTCACTGACCTAACGGTTACCTTACTGTATCGACGTAAAAGGCGACTAAAATGCCGGGAGTAAGGGGTTGTATAAATTAGTAAATTTAAAAAGAAACACTTTTTTTTTTTAGGTAACCCTGCCTCGATGGGATATGGCCAATTCGTTGAAATAATAATAATAATAATAATAATAATAATAATAATAATAATAATAATAAAACCTTTAAAACATTATAAACTTTTTAGCCGTAACTGAAAATCAGAATGAGGCATCAGAATGCTTAATGGGAAATAATAAGACAAATGCCTCGGCATGACTGCAGAAATAAACTGGTTAGTGACCACCGGGTACGACGTCTTTATCATCTGCAATACACTCAAAAGGATAATCGTATAGCTCTGTGGCTAGGCCTACCATGACCATATAGCCACAGACCTATGGAAAAACACGTTTACTGATACAGCATCGAAGACGTACAAAGCCACATACGTACTGGCTCAGATTTACGAACTCACAAGCAATTAAGCATGGACCCAACAGTCTACAGACACATGCCTAAGCACCAAGTGCCTCGTCACCTACACAAGGCCATAATAAGAAAAACATACATGAATATACCATCGTCTGAAAATTAATTGTGAATGTTTATGAAAACATTAAAAAAAAAACTGCCAGAAGATAAGATCAACGATTTTGCTCATGTTTCTTTTGCTCACCTGATGACGAAAAGACAAAACTGAAAAACCATTTCTTTGCTATTTGACCTTTAGAGTGCTTGTATAAGCAAGACCAGTCAGTAAATAGCCGGTAATCAATATCTCAATGATCACCTCTTATTGCTCGGGTTCTACGTTCCGGTCTCTGTTTGATTATAGTAATGTTTTGAGTAAAGGAAATAACAGGTAAATGTAAAATATGTAAAAGTGAACTATACTACACGATTTACCTGCTATTACTCGGGTTCTGCATCCACTGTTGGAAAAGGGAGACAGAGTTCTGAACACAGTCTTCGTAGTCTAAGTGGCAGGCGTTGGATAAGGCCAGCACCCGCTTGTACGTCTCCAGGTGAGGGTCATTCGGGTTGTCCTCAAAGCCCACAGAGTTGTATAACGGAATCAGGAGGTCCAGTAAATACCTCTATTTCCAGGAGTATAGGAAAAAACTTTCAGTGACCTTCATTAGTGTCTTTTAGCCAATGACAGAAAGACAAATTGTTGTCAATAGCGGCTATTCAGATACGCTATATATCTTGAAACATATGACTTTTCAAATACATTTCACCTTGCCATATTTCCATTCGTGTTTAGCGCTTCCGCATGAATATAATAATTATACACATGGCTAAAATGCCTCAAGTGGTCGATGATAAGGTCTCATTAAAGGATCGAATGCAGTTGAAAAACATTTTGAATATATATGGTGAATAATTTTTTGTTACGTTTTAATAGGGTTGAAAGTTAGTTTTGCGAGCGAAAATATTGAATACTGTTTCCTGGTTTTATTCTGATAAGAATGATAAGAATGCGGTGGAGATATATACTAAGCAAAGAGCAGATGAGTATACAGTATGAATCTCATTATTCTCTGAGTAACTTTTTACCTTAAGAGCACCATAAGCTCCTTTACGAGTGAACATCATCTCCAGATATTCCAGGTTATGCAAGGCTGTGTTCCAAGCTATAAACTCCGCCTCTGTCTTTAGGTATTCATTCACGCTCATGGCGATGTTGTATGAAAGCAGACCTGAGGAAAACAACTGTATAAATACTATGATTCACACTCATGATGATGTATGGCAAGTGACCTGGGAAAAAGCAACAGTAATTGATGAGGTAATTGACACTCAGGGCAATTTAGTATAATAACTGTTTTGAGAGAAAAAATAATAATTTAATAACATCTTTAAAATTCATTCATATAATTTGATTCTGGAGAATTTTAGATAATTTCATTATATTATCAAGACTTTATATAAAAAACTTATTATCATATAGTTTGTAAACAAGATATTTAAGATTACACATGAGAGGGGCATGTAAACCCACTTCAAGAAATATATTACCGAGATTTTTCACTTAGAATTTTTACAAACTAATAATACATTCTGTGCCCAGTGAAATACCTGATGTAATTAAAAAGTTAGTTACAGAGCACGTGAGCGGGTAAAAAGTTTCTCGTATTCAACGTTTAATAACAGCATAACTTACCGGCCCGTGCGAGGTCCATGGCGTCGTCGATGATCTGAGCACGGTTTATCACGTGGATGACCTGGTGGTCGGTGCTCAGCTGCTGAATGAGCAAGTTCCAGTTATCGTCATCATAATCTACTCTATAATAACCTGTTTCTTGTATGTTGAAGATGACCCACTGGTCCTTCTCAGGAAGTGAAGAGACTGTGATGTCTGCCTCAGAATCCTTCATCCATACTTGGGCTTGAGTGTTATTAAAATTAGGGTTATCTTGACTCGTGTATGTTAGTGGAACCCACCACTTGTAGTCATGGGTGTCTGACGAGTTCTCGTTCTTTACTAGCAAAAATCGTTCCTGTAAGAGTATGAAACTTATTTTTTATTTAATTTATTAAACATTTTTTTGTGATATTCTACTATGGTGCAGAGTTTTATTCTTGAGCAACAAAACATTGGTAAATTATTAACCTGAGTGAGGGTTGCCGAGGTGCCGTCTGAGCTCCTCACAACCTTGATAACAGGGTAGCCCATCTGCAGCGTCCAGGTGTCCATGACTTCCTTGACTGTCATATCTGGCGGCAGTGTTTCGTCTTCATGAGCAGCGTCTGTCAGGTACTGCCACAGGTCGTCTTGCTCAGCGTTGGAAAACGCCCTACGAGTGTTCTCAGACTTAACGAATATTACGTTAAATTTCTTAATAAATTATTACTGAAACTTTAACAAAGGTTCTTAATGAAGCCTTGGTTAATCAACTCTCGTACTTTTACTTTAACAGCCAAAAGTCTCCTAGTTGATTCAATCATTCTTTTACAAAAACATTCCAGATGGTCTTACAAGAGATGACCACTTTTATTCTGGCAGTTTATTAACACTAAGATCTGAGCCCATGAAAATCATTATTAGTTTACTGTAGTGTCTACCATTTTCAACCCTTGCTTCAATCATAACTTATTATTAAACCACACGGTAATGGAGCAACTCTTGTTCCCTCACTAATAACCATTCTTCTCTCTGTCTTCCTCTAAACGCCTCCCTAAACTTTCACACTTTGAAGATGATCTTTTTGTAAATCTCTCCCTAATCTCTCTCCCCCTGTAGGATGATCATCTAAACTACTCCCTAGTCTCTCTCACCCTGCAAGATGTATGATCTTCCTCTAAATTTCTCCCTAGTCAATCTCCCCCTGCAAGATGAATAATCTTCCTCTGAATTCCTCCCTAGTCTCTCTCACGCTGCAAGAAGAGAGGTCAAAACACGACGTATTAAGACTATACTAGAGCACCAGTGTAAACTCAAGACCCGGAAGTAGAAATTCCTGATAATTCTTCAATCTTCATCCCCCGACTCTTAGAAGAACAAGAAAAGTTCTGCTAGTAAAACCTATTTGTTCTAGCTTACCAGTATCTAAAAGATAGGTAGCGGAGAGTATAAGAGATAAAACAGTATATAAGCGAGAGATAATGGCGTGTATAAGTGATAAATAGCACAGCATAAAAGGCATAAATCACAGTATATAGGTGATGGATAGCACAGTATTTAAGCGATGAATATCACAGTATATTAACGAAAGATAGCACAGTATATAAGCGATAAGTAGCACAGTATATAAGGGAAAGATAGCACAGTATATAAGCGATAGATAGCACAGTATATAAGCATAGATAAAACAGTATATAAGGGATAGATAACACAGTATATAAGCGACAGATCGTACAGTGAATGAATCACAGATATTTGATGTCACTGTATCTATGCGATGGATAGCACGGTGTGTGTATATACCGCTTTAACCATTCTAGCGAAATAAATGTAATAAGATGTGAGTGGATAATCATGTCCTAACCTTAGCCCTTATTATATCTCTTAGCAACAAACGCACCTAAATACCAGATGTATAAGTATTGGAAGTATACGTTTATACATGAACTTTCACATAGTCATTTTTCATAAGTCAAATATTGTATTTCTTTGAACCAGTCCGCCAGAACGTTATGGTGCAGTCTTTCTTACAATGAAAATAAGTCCTACATTAAGTCTACGTAATATACTTTGCATTCTACAACTCTCAGAATTTACAAATTTCTTCTATTGACTAAATCATTCATATGTTGTCTGAATGAAGCTTGAACTGAAATTGAACTGGACTATAACAAACGTTTTGACAGGTTATTAACTATTTACGGCCAGATAAATTATTCCTTTAAGTATGTGTCTGGATATTTTGATTTTTTTTTAATTTTCTAGAAATTTTAGAAAAATTAAATTATTTCACTAAAATTAATTTAGAATAAAAGTCCCTATTCTTATAGATTTTAATAAAGTTTTATATTTAATTTTAGGCCGGAAAGAATTGTGGTAATTACAAATAAACGTAAACGTAATCTAGTTATGACAACCTAGTTAACCAGTTCCTCCTTACTTACTTGCCATTGAGGTAGTTGGTGACGCCTTTCCTGAAGGTTGTCTCAGTTAGGAAGTGATTCATCATGCGAATAACAGACGCACCTGTGTACGTGATCATTATTAACAGACACACCTGTGTACGTGATCATTAATAAGAGATGCACCTGTGTATGTGAACATTATTACAGATGCACTTGTGTACGTGATCATTATTAACAGCTACACCTGTGTACGTGATCATTAATAAGAGATGCACCTGTGTATGTAATCATTATTACAGATGCACCTGTGTATGTAATCATTATTACAGATGCACTTGTGTACTTGATCATTATTAACAGATGCACCTGTGTACGTAATCATTATTACAGACTCACTTGTGTACGTGATCATTATTAACAGATGCACCTGTGTACGTAATCATTATTACAGACTCACTTGTGTACGTGATCATTATTAACAGATGCACCTGTGTACGTAATCATTATTACAGATGCACCTACGTGAATTAATATTAAAAAATGCTCATGTGAGAGTGTTAATGTTAAATGTTATAAGTGAACCTGTGTAAGTTGGTAGCATTAGCAGATACACCTACTGTATGTAGGTTAATAGTGTTAGCAGTTGCACCTTTGTATGTTAATGTTAGCATATGCACCTATGTAAGTTAATACTGTTAGGAGTTGCATTTATGTGGATTAATTATATTAGCAGATTCACATGTGTAATTTAATATTAACAGATGTACCTGTACTCACCTAACTGTGATTGCAAGGCTCGCGTCACAGCCCCTGGCCCTGCCTCTACTGGCCGCCACTTGTATAAACGAAAGATTATGTGTGAGTATCAAAGAGGGATTAATGATAAGGCTTCGGAGGCTACGTTGCTTTATTTGGGTTCGTGGTACACAGGCAGTGTGTTTAAGAGCCCAGGCCCGAAGGGCCATGCCTATGAGGGAGAGAGGAGTGGAACTGTTGACTGAGTGAACTCGGCTGCTTGAATGAGGCCGGGTAAGTGTGGTGCAGGCTGAATTGGGTAGGCATATGCCACTAGGTGTCAGCACTAGCATGGCTCGAAATATGAACCCAGCTGGGCATACACTAGGTCCACTCCCTGCTTCATTAGCTTTATCATACCTCTTAAAGCTATGTATGGTACCTGCCTCGACTGCCTCACTTTCCAGACTATTCCATTTCTTGACAACTGTATGACTGAAAAAATATTTCCTAACATTCCTGTGACTCATCTGAGTCTTCAGCTTCCAATTGTGATCCCTTGTTGCTCTGTCCCATCTTTGGAACATCCTGTCTCTATCCACCTTGTCGATTCCTCTCAGTATTTTATATGTCATTATCATGTCCCCCCCTGCCCCTTAGCTCTGGGACTTGTCTCGTTGCAAACCTTTGCACTTTCTCTAATTTCCTGATGTTCTTGGTCAAGTGTGGGTTCTAAACTGGAGCTGCATACTCCAGTATAGGCCTGACGTACACGGTGTATAGGGTCAGGAACGACTCCTTACTGAGATGTCGGAATGTTATTCTTTGGTTTGCTAGTCGCCCATATGCTGCAGCAGTTATTTAGTTGATGCGTGCCTCATGAGATGTGCTTGGTATTACACACGCCCCAAGATCCTTTTCATTGAGTGAGGTTTGTAGCCTTTGGCTCCCCTAGACTACTCTGCGGTCTTCTTTGCCCTTCCCCAATCTTCATGACCTTGCACATGGTGGGACTGAACTCCAGGAGCCAGTTGCTGGACCAAGCCTGCAGCCTGTCCAGATCCCTCTGTAGTCCTGCCTTATCCTCCTCCGACTGAATTCTCATCATTAACTTAACATCGTCTGCAAACAGGGACACTTCTAAGTCTATTCCTTCTGTCATGCCATTCACATATACGGGAAACAGCACCAGTCTTGGGACTAACCTCTTTGGAACCCAGCTCGTCACAGGCGCCCACTCTGACACTTCATCACATCATAAGTCGCCGATGCCTTTCTGTCAGGTATTCTCTGATCCACTGCAGTGCCTTCCCTGTCATACCTGCGTGGTCCTCCAGTTTTTGCACTAATCTCTTGTGTGGAACTGTCAAAAGCCTGCTTACAGTCCCCGAAAACGCAGTCTACCTACCCCTCTCTTGCCTTACTGCTATCACCTTGTCATAGAACTCCAGTAGGTTTGTGACAGAGGATTTCCCGTCTTTAAATCCGTGCTGATTGTCGTTTATAAGCTTATTCCATTCTAGGTGGTCCACCACTCTTCTCTTGATAATTTTCTCCATGACTTTTCATACAATACATGTCAGTAACACTGGTCTGTAGTTTAATGCTGTGTGTCTGTCTCCTTTTTAAAAAAATTAGGACTACATTTGCACTCTGCCATATCTCGGGTAGTCATCCTGTTTCGACAGATGTGTTGAAGATTGTCGATAGTGGTAAATAGAGCGCCTCTGCTCCCTTTGCAGCCTCTTCACTTCCTCCTGGGTTGTATGTATCGCGTACCCCACCTCTCCGTGTTTCTGGAGTCCTTTCTGTCTCCACTGTGAATACTTATTTGAATCTTATGTTGAGCTCCTCACATACTTCAAGGTCGTTTCTTGTAAACTCCCCTCCATCCTTTCCCAGCCTGATTACCTGGTCTTTGGCTACTGTTTCCTTCCTGATGTGACTGCTCAACAGCTTCGGGTCAGACTTGGCTTTCGCTGCTTTGTCATTTTCTTATTGTCGTTGGGCGTCCCTCCTTACCTGTGCATATCAGTTTCTTGCTCTTCGATTACTTTCCATATTCTCCTGGGTCCTTTGCTTTCTATACTTCTTCCGTTCTCTAGCACACTTGGTTTAAGCCTCTCTGCACCTTTGTGTGAACCAAGGACTCGTCCTCGCCTTCTCATTATTTCTGCTGACCTTGGATACAAACCTCTCCTCAGCTTCCTTGCATATTGTTGTCACATATTCCACCATCTCATTTACTGATTTCCCTGCTAGTTCTCTTCCTACTAAACCTCATGCAGGCAATTCCTCATGTCCATCTAGTCCCCTCTATTGTAGTTTGCTTCAGTCGTCGTGCCCTTCCTGCTTCCCTCTCCACTTCCAACTCTACTATGTATTCGAAGCTTAGACTCTTAGGTCCAGTCTTATTGGTTTATCCTCTTCCCTCTGGTAGTGTCCCTAACTTGTTGATGCATGAGGTTTTATAGTGCCACCTGCGTCATCTTAACCCTCCACATTTGTGTGTGTGTGTGTGTGTGTGTGTGTTTGCGTGTGATACCTGTACCACTTTAAATAAATTTGGGATGCTTGTTCTACTTGATAGGGAATCAGGTAAAAGGGATGCATGCCACTCATATCTGCTACCGGATCTGATGTGTTTCACACAAGTATTTCATCACCTTAGATAGCTGTTTTACCTTTAGAATAGGAGATACTGTCAAAGATTTGATCAATCTCGTCAGGGCTTCCAACGGGGATGCTGATAGGGTGTGAGGACTCGAGGCTGTCCATCTCCAGCACATCTTGTAAATCATTAGACACAAACTGCTCCCACATCTTCCAAGTGGGTTCGACCTGTCGTACATAAACATTCCTCATAATTTGTTGCATTTGAAGTTTTTATACTAATCAAAACAAGAAGAAGAAGAAGAGTAAGAAGTAGAGCTAGAAGTTCTTTCTTCTTCCTCAACAACAACAACAATTGAACATGACATAAAATCAAAGAAATCCTCAGCTTGGATAACATATATTGAGCAGAATTATTAGGAAATGGTTTAATCCATCTACGTCCTAGACTCCTTCATTAGTGTTTTCAGGGCACAGGAAAAAATTGTTGTTATTGAGACTGCACTTTATAGCATCTCAACTTACGTGGTCGGTGCCGATGTTTTCCACGAAGGAAGCGAACCCTTCATTGAGCCAGAGATCCGTCCACCAGTCCGGGGTGACGAGGTCGCCGAACCACTGGTGAGCCAACTCGTGGGAGATGATTACAGTCACGTGCTGCTTGTCTGCGGCCGACGACACAGCTGGATCGTACAGCAAGGAAGACTCGCTGCAGGGAAGCAGGATTTACAAAGTTAAAAATTATAATAATTTCATGATCCCACCCAAGGACGTGACTCTGGTAATATTTGGATTGTCTAAATCCGGTGGAAAACTTTCTCTAATTCCTTTCTTACTCCGGACGTCTTGCACCGAGATAAAACGTCCCCAAGAAAATAGATTTACTATCATTCATTCAAGAGATGCTTTCCCAGAAGTGTTGAGATACATTTCCGTCGACCCTCCGAAGTACACTATCACCATTCATCCTTCAAAGTGCAGTTACTGTGTTTTTTTTTTTTTACCTTCAGGACTCATGTCACATCTTATGACGTGATATTTATTTTTTGAGGTGTGTACTGAATAATCCAGCAGTAGGCTTCGAAAATAATTGACAGCGCTCCTCTGAGCAGCTTAGTGGGCCTCTCATGTATTTTGCAAGGTTCTTGATCCAAGGAATTAAAAATACCTTCTCTTACATATAGATCAAGTCTGATTACCAACCATTCACAAGTCTTTGTATGACTCCTACTGGCTTACCGCTTTCCCATGAATAGAATAATAATTATGTATCCCAGGAGGAACATCCTTAAGTGGTTGCCAAATTTTTTTCCTTTATTTTTTTTCTTCGAATTTTTCGTTTTGATTTCGCTCATAATAACAGAAAGTCCCATCAAATCGGCTTTAAATTTTCAACGCTGGCATACAGTAACCAGCCCCAGATTTAATGAACAAATCACATGTGAAGTCGATCTTTGACCAAAGTTGTACGACTCATCCTCAGCATCATTGAATGGCTACGATAACTTCCAAAACACTCAGCAGCGCAGCTTCAAATTTAAAAAAAAAATAAAATGTCTTCTAATTTGGTGACAGAAGAAAGTGAAGTTTCAGTGTGTCGGTGAACATCTGCCAATTTTATATGTAAAATACAGTGAACTTTTGATTCCCGTTTAATCACGTTAAATACATCTGAGTCAACCTCTGAACGGCCTCAGTGTTTAATGGCCGATGCATCTCAGGGCAACTATAGTACCCACTAAGTTTAGTTTGTTTGCTGGCAAAAAACTTGTAGTTTTCGGAATCATCGCGGTAACTGCAGAATGTTTCTTCTGACAGGTTTCAAATTTTCAGCCTTTGTGTTTTTTCCAGAAAACAAAGTTCACGTTGTTACTAGGCTTCTTATGTTCGCCAATTTTATAAGAACATAAGAACATAAGAAAGGAGGAACACTGCAGGAGGCCTGTTGGCCCATACTAGGCAGGTCCTTTACAATTCATCCCACTAACAAAACATTTGCCCAACCCAACTTTCAATGCCACCCAAGAAACAAGCTCAAGCTCTGATGTGAAAGTCCCACTCAAATCCAACCCCTCCCACTCATGTACTTATCCAACCTAAATTTGAAACTACCCAAAGTCCCAGCCTCAACAACCCAACTAGGTAGACTGTTCCACTCATCAACTACCCTATTTCCAAACCAATACTTTCCTATGTCCTTTCTAAATCTAAACTTATCTAATTTAAATCCATTACTGCGGGTTCTCTCTTGGAGACATCCTCAAGACCTTATTAATATCCCCTTTATTAATACCTATCTTCCACTTATACACTTAAGAACATAAGAACGAAGGAACACTGCAGAAGGCCTACTGGCCCATGCGAGGCAGGTCCAAGTCTCCTACCGGCTTAAGCCAATGCACCCAACCTAGTCAGGTCAGGTCACATTGACTTAAGGGAGGAACACGGCAACCGACCTGTTAGCATGGACTGATTACATCGTCTTCAAGTATCTTCTGCTTCTATCAACTTTTCTGTACTTGACTGAAGAAGCCTACTGTGTAGGCGAAACGTTTCAAAATAAAGATACCTAACTGTTGCATATGTGTCTTACCTAACAATCTGTCGGTATTTTATACCATTTTAATGTTCACAAGCTATCAGGTCTAACTCACACCCACCCACATCTACTCATGTATTTATCCAACCTATTTTTAAAGCTACACAACGTTCTGGCCTCTATAACGGTACTTGGGAGTTTGTTCCACTCATCCACAACTCTATTACCAAACCAGTACTTTCCTATATCCTTCCTGAATCTGAATTTTTCCAACTTAAAACCATTGCTGCGAGTCCTGTCTAGGCTAGATATTTTCAGCACACTATTTACATCCCCTTTATTTATTCCTGTCTTCCACTTATACACCTCAATCATATCCCCCCTAATTCTACGTCTTTCTAGGGAGTGCAGTTTCAGGGCCCTTAGTCTATCCTCATAGGGAAGGTTTCTGATACATGGATCATCTTTGTCATCCTCCTTTGTACATTTTCCAGAGAATTTATATCCATTCTGTAATACGGTGACCAAAACTGTGCAGCATAATCTAAATGAGGCCTAACCAAGGATGTATAGAGTTGAAGAACAACCTGAGGACTCCTATTATTTATGCTTCTTGATATGAAGCCAAGGATTCTATTAGCTTTATTGCGAACACTTATGCACTGTTGTCTTGGTTTCAGATTACTGCTAACCAGAACTCCTAAATCTTTTTCGCAATCCGTAATATTAAGATCTACATTATTTAGTTTATATGTGGCATGGTTATTGTCCTGTCCAACATTTAGAACTTTGCATTTGTCTATATTAAACTGCATCTGCCACTTCTCCGACCACTGCATCAGTCTATTCAAATCTTCCTGGAGTGCTCGAATGTCCTCGTCAGAATGAATTCGACGGCCTATTTTGGTGTCATCGGCAAACTTGCCGATGTCGCTCTTTATGCCCTCATCTATGTCGTTTATGTAGATTGTGAACAGCAGGGGGCCCAACACTGACCCCTGTGGAACACCGCTCGTGACGCTTCCCCACTCTGATTTCTCCCCATTTATGCAAACTCTCTGCTGCCTATTTGTCAACCATGCCTCTATCCAGGAAAAAATTTCTCCTCCTATTCCATGTGCTTTAATTTTCCTCAATAGTCTCTGATGTGGGACCCTGTCAAAAGCCTTACTGAAGTCCATATACACAATATCATATTCATTACCATGATCTACCTCCTCAAATACCTTAGTGAAAAAAGTTAATAAATTCGTAAGGCAGGAACGCCCTTTTGTAAAACCATGCTGAGATTCGTTGATTAATTTATGCTTTTCAAGGTGGCTACGAACTGCCTCGGCAATTATTGATTCCATAAATTTTCCCACTATGGAGGTTAGGCTTATTGGTCTATAGTTCGAAGCTAAGGACCTGTCACCTGTTTTGAAAATAGGTATCACATTTGCCATTTTCCACTTATCTGGCACCATGCCAGTTTGTAGTGATATGTTGAAAAGATTAGCCAAAGGTGTGCTAAGCTCCTCTTTACATTCCTTTAGAACCCTTGCATACAGTTCATCAGGGCCTGGGGATTTGTTAGGTTTTAATTTATCTATTTGCCTAAGGACCATGTCACTTGTGACCCTAATAGTGCACAGTTTATTATCGTCCTGTTCTACATAATTTATCATTACTGGAATATCACTGGTATCCTCCTGTGTAAAAACTGAGAGGAAGTATGTGTTAAAAATTCTACACATTTCCTTATCACTGTCAGTGAGCTGACCCGAGGAACTTTTGAGTGGGCCTATCTTGTCCCTGATCTTACTTCTGTATACCTGAAAGAATCCTTTTGGGTTAGTCTTCGATTCTCTTGCAACTTTATTAAATACATAGTGATATTGATTTCTGTTCAGTAAATATAGAATGGCTCAACTTATCGGCTTCAAAATATTAACACTTATGCATTCAGTCTGAAAGAAGACATCCAATAACTCTAGACTGAGTACGTGTAAATTAGAAATTCTAATGAAATTGTTATAAAAGACTTGTTATCCAGAGAACTGATCACATGACTCGCCAGGAGAAATGTTCACATTACTCCTGATAAAATACCATCAGTGTCCATCATCCACGCATAGCTGTGAGCCAACTCTCTCCTGTTACTGCTCTAACGTTCTCTACATTCTGCTTATTACATAATCGTTAAAAATACGATTTATAAAACATAACTTCTCTGTTAAAATTACTTTTTTTTTTTTGCTACGAAAGTTTAAAGTGACAGATTAACTGCTTAATTATTTAGGTTAACAGGTAAATGGCCTACACAAATTTGTTTCACCAGAGTTCACTGCAGGTCATTTACAGGTAAGCAGAGCTCACTGAAGGACATTAAAGCTCCCTGAATGTTAAAAAAGTGAATAAGTTCTTTTATCTCTTATTACAAAAGAATCTGTTGTTAATTGGTGATTATTTTGTGAAGTGCCAGAAGCTTGCTAATCTTTTTTTGAACTTTTTTGTTTTCCGATTTTTACAAAGCGTTCCTAATTTTATTTTTTTTAGCATGTTTATAGTGTCACGGAAGAATATACACATATTTTTCTCCTAGAAAGTTAATTTGTAATCTTTTTCTATAGCTTCCCTGCCAATAGATATTACTCTGTGTGGGAGACATTAGACTCGCCCTCATAGTCCAACATCACACTCTGTATAAGCCAAAAGGACAAATATAAAATCTCTATATACTGTCCTTTACTTCTAAAGGTAATTCACAATAATCTATCAATTAACTTGCTTAAAATTTAAGATGGGAATCCAAGAAGACGATGTCTGACCTGTAGATAATAAGTCCCCAGTTTTCCATGGAGCCGCCTGTGAATGCAGGTATAGCGATCATGTCTTGTTTGGGGAGAGGGAAAGGAACACTGAAGTACTCCTCGTAGAAAGAGAGAACTACAGGACCAGTTTTGAGGGCGAGATCTGCTTGCTGGATGGCACCTTCACGAGTCCAGACTGTAATGAAAAGCATAAATTAACTATAATACTGAAAGAGGAGCATACTACTACTAAAGCAACTTTCCCAAACTTTTAGATCGCCTGGTGGCTAGACTAACGTGTATTTTCTTGCCATCAGTAAGAGGGAAACCGAGCCTCCATTTCTTCATACACTCATCCTAGGACACGAAAATGTGATCCTTAGGTTTTTAAATGAGGCTGGAAACCTAATTCCGGTACGAGAGAGGATGTTGCACCACAGTTACATAGCAGGATGAGCCAGTGGTTGCTTAATAATCAATCTCAAACACCAAGACGACTGAAGTTGCGGGACATCGTCTGTTTCTAAGACTTGCGTCATGAGACACTTTCCTGTTTTTTAACACACCACCACCACCTTCCATAACGGGTTTAGCGCTTCATGTAAATGTATATATTATATTAAACAAGTAAAAATGAAAATTATTCGGAAAACCGACGTCCATTGCCTACCTCTGAAGAGAACATGATCGTTGGCATCAGAGTCTATGTGAGTGTAGTCGGAGATGACGAAAGCGAGAAGGTAGGTAGACATAGGAACGGTTGTGTTGAAGTGGTCCCACACCCACCCATCCTGACCTTCACTGTCCATGTAGTTGTCATGTTAGTGTATAATCCATCTGGGTTTGGCGAAATTATATGAAGTAAACTTTAAAATCAATACCAAATAATGTAGCCTGAAATTAGATTTTTGCTTACACTGGGAAGGTTTCAAATTTCGGCATGTTTGAAATTGAAGACATCGAAGTTTCTCTGGCAAGGAAGATTTCAAAGGTAGCTTTCATGGCAGGTTCGTCAAAACACGGGAAGGCTCTTCTGGCGTCCGTTGCTTCAAACTGAGTTGACGCCACCCACCTGCAGTACGTAAAATAAATTTGAAACTGCCCTTTTTTTTAAACAATAGACAGGGCATTATATTTAAAAAAAAAAAAGAATCATCTACATTTACCTGGTATTGCCGTCTTCGTCCGTGTATGTTGATCTGTAAAACCCTATGAGCTGATCATTGAGGAGGCCGACGAACTCCATAGAGAGAATGTACCTCTTACCCAGCTCCAGGTCTTCCCCCAACACACCGATGTAAAAATTACGATCTTTGTCGTAGAGGTTCTGCTTCACCTCCACACCAGGACCCTCCACGTCATCAGAGGGAACCACCTGTAAAAGTTCAGTGTTCATCATCAGTACTATGTCACTATAGTAATAGATCTGTCGACGGTAACTATGCCAATTTTTTTTTTTTTTATTCGCTGGTATTCTCCCGGCCCGGGTCTTTTCCAGTAGTGGTGACCCGGCCTTGGCTCCCTATCCGGGAGTGTCTCGAGACCTAAGTCTCCCATGGGAGGAGGTACAAGTGCCCACTCATCTTTGGGACCAAGTGTCCCCAGGCCTAGCCACAGTCCCCGCCCTCACGGGGCTGGCAGGGAGAAGCTAGGCCTTTGGTCTGCCATCTGCCAATTTTATTGCTACAAATATGGTGAAGTAAAAACAAGAAATTTAATATAAAAAGTAAATCCATCTTTATATTAACATTTAAAACTGATTATGTAAGACGAAGTCTACTAATGAGATGAGAGGTAGTCTTTTAAACAGAACTAAGACGGATAAAATTTTAAACCTACAAGTGTTGATATAAATTGCAATAATATAATGAATGACTTTCCCCCTGAACAGAATCAAGAATTTTTCTCATATGTTAGACAAACTTCCCCAGCAACGTGAATAATACGTTATTAATAAGCATTATTTAATATCAATAATATATGAAAGAAATTTCTTAACAAAGACTAGAAACACATCATGTCACTCGGGGTTGACCTTCACTGGTCTGATTTTAGACAATTATTACCTAATCTCCGTTGATGTACGGACTGCCCAAGACCCTGAACACAATATACTAATAAGACAGTGTATCCATACGACAATGCAGCACATAAAATAGCTGGTGTCCTCTTCAAGCACCTTTCCTGCCCCCCAGGAATCATGACCTTCTACCATGTAATAATTATGAAAATGTTGTACGATAATGACAAGTTGAAGAGTAAGACACCTATGCACTAATTGGCGTCTTTATTGTTGAAGCGTTTCAACAGTAAAGTTACCCAACTGTTGCACATATGTCTTTACCATCTAAAGCACTCAGGCGATCTTAACGGTATTACAAAGCTCATTTTTAGGAACAAGAAATAAAGTAGTCAGGAAACCGCTTAACTTTTTACAAAGGTATACACTTTACAAGTCAATGACTTTCTCTGATGCACAGTTAACCTGGATTTATATCTGCCTTTGCCATCCAAATCTTTATTGCTCTGATTGAACCCTGCATGAAGGTAAACTGTTTCTCTTCCAAGGGTAACCACTACAGGCAAGCATATGGGATGGACATGGGTTCTCTCACCAGCGTTATTTTGCCAAACCTATACATAGAGCATGTAGAAACGGAACTCATCGACAACAATATCTCTAGCAACCTCACGTAGGTGCAAATCGTGGGTTACGTCCTCGTAATTACTCCCAAACGTTTTAACATCAATGATTTGCAGAGAAGGCCCAACGAAGTTGAGCCTCGCAATCCAGTTCACACTTGAAGATCATTGATAGATTATCAGTCTTCGACGTCCTTATCCACAATTATAACATACGTAATATACTCAGTAAACAATTAAACATCATGTGATAAGAAGCAATACCCGTTGACTCCCTGGATACACGTGACCATAATTGTTATGATTATGTTATTGCTGTTGCTAGTGATATATCTCCTGAAATTCCACGTAAATAACATTCAATCAACCCATAACTCAGATGGTGAATAACTTAGCAGAAATAACTTGTAATTGGGCTACTATTCCATGGTATCGAATTAAAGACTCATGGCACTTACTTTGATGGTCTCATTCTTGGTGATAATGTCAGCAATGTGGAGGGTAATGTTGGAGGTGGGTTCAGTAACTTCTATCTCCACCTCAACATATCCCTCGATGCTAAAGTTACCATTGATGAAAGGCTGAAGTTTCACAACATAGTGAAGAGGCTTTAGGGTCTTGGGGAGTCGAATATCAATTTCATCTTTGTCTCTTGCGACGATAGCAGCTGGAAGATCACCCACGGGTTCCAGAGGCTGTCAGACAAATTAATATTTTTCAGCGTTACTAAATTTACCAAGAAGCAGGTAATTACGTCCATCAAGGACAGGTGCCCTAATGCTAATGAAAGAATATAGATCTGAAGAATTGGGGGCTTCTCTCTCCCCTTCCTTTGATCGAACCTGATTGTTGCCTATTCTTCAGGCTCTGTATTACCATTACACCTTTAGTGCTTACCCATCAATATAATAATAATAACTGCTGGGACAGTTATTCATAAACTGAGGCAGTTATTTACAAGCTGAGCATGTTATTCTGAAACTGAGACATTTATTTTCAAACTGAGTCCTACCAGTTGCTTAAGAGTTATTCCTGTGACAAACCTTACAATCTTCTACTTATATGCACCACATCGTAGCGTTGTACACTCACAAGAGCTGAGCACTTCATTTTTAATGCAGCAATTATGTTGGAACTTATTCGGTCCTAAGTTCCACAGGTAAATAAGCCGTATGAAGCCCCTAATTCCAGATAGACCATCTGAGTTTTGCGGGCCTCACATCTACCCAAAACACATACATACACCCGGATTGGCGAAGGTGGTTGGAAGGCACGTCTTAATTGATAGATTTACCTTTCAAAGAAAGTGTAGGTAGTTTAGATTGTTAGTAAACTAATGTTAGGATTATTGAGGCAACTGTAGATATTAATAAAGTAGACCTAAGACTTTAATGTAGGTAGGAAGAGGCCTGTAATATAGGCAAACCCTAGGTTATATTAGCTTGGGAGAACTGGCAGCCTCAAGTTTGAATGGCGAGGCACAGGTCTTTGAGACGCCAGTGCCTCCGCTAAGATCAGACACCATCGGAATAACAAGTGCCATGAACAGCAGGGCGGTGCCCCCACGTGTCTACACATACTAGACCTGGGCAAATCTGGTGGAGGCACCTCGAAACACTGTAGATGCCCTCCTCCATCAGGTCCATTACAGTAAGATAAGACCTCCCTTCCTCAGTATTCTGGCCAGTTTCTGGGGAAAACTGAGAGTGAGTTGAACTCTCGGTCTTTGTGCAGTCAGATGCGCGAAGACCAGTACGTACCGGCGTCCCCTCGTAAGTTAAAGTTTAGAAGCTAGTGTCACTTCCTGCTTAGTTATAATAGGGAATACTCACCTCCTTGGAATCAGGAAATTCTGAGGTGCAGGCAGGTCAATAATACCGACTGAATATTGCAGGAATTAATTACCCGACAGCACGTGGTGACTTGTAGGGGAGTGTCCAGAGGGGCAGAGGCTTAGGGAGGTTGAAAACCGGGTGATATATCCTCCAACACCAAGTAAGTTAGTCCTCTATTCGTTCATGAAGGTTGGAATTCTTGCAAAATCAGTTATTTATGGAAATGTGTCATATAAGCCACTTGTGAGGCTGAGGCGCCAGTGTCAACAGAGCTTACTAGGGTAGACAACTCACATGGAGGCAGTCCAGACAAATTTCCACAGATTATAATAATTATTATAATAATTTTAATCATAGTAATAATAATAATAATAATAATAATAATAATAATAATAATAATAATAATAATAATACTGTTTACACATTGTAACTCCTACAAATAGAATAGGGTGGACCTACATCACGGGGGTTCCCCCAGTGTATCTCGTATATAATAAGGCTGGATAAGCGTTCTCTATTTATGTACCCACAGTGCAACTTATATAGAATACAAGTATCACCCATTTCTGTATAAACATTGTATCATGTGGAAATAAACTCTGACTTAGGGTAGGGTAGCAACTCCCGTGGAATAGGCAACTCCCGTGGAATAGGGCAGCTGTACACTGTGGATGTTCCCACGTTAATTCAATGTAAGAATGGATTAATATTTTTCCTCTGTCTCCTGATTCCACTCCTTTACTTAAAAGGTGCAACAATAAATAAAAAATGTTTTTCCAAGAGGTGGATGAGATTCCCACGGACACGTACAAGGACTTAGAAGCCGGCGCCTAAATAGAAAAATTACCGAAAAATCCAAAAAATATTTTAACAATCTGGCAACATTTAGGTGTAAGTATCATGGTTGTATGATGTTTCTACAACGAGTTATAGTCATTACAACATTTCTTGTAATGACACATGTAAATATGTCTGAACATAAAGTGAATTTTCAGAATTTTTTTCATTTTTTTTAATTATTTTTTGTATTCTTTCTAATAAATTTAAATTACTATCTGGCATCAAAAGGCCACTATGGTTACAACAATGACCATAATTTTTAAAGGGGTGGACCGGTAAGCCAGTGAAAGGCATCGGTCAAATGACTGAAAGCTCCAACGGTGGATCATGTGACTAAGACCCGCGTCAGGAGACACTTGTCCTGTCTCCTGACAAACCCCATTGTCATCAGCAAATTTGCTTATGTCGCTATTTATTCCCTCATCTATGTCGTTTATGTAAATTGTGAACAACAACGGGCCCAACACTGACCCCTGAGGAACACCGCTTGTGACGTGCCCCCATTCTGATTTCTCTCCATTTATGCAAACTCTCTGCTGCCTATTTGTCAACCATGCCTCTACCCAGGAAAAAATTTCTCCTCCTATTAGGTGTGCCTTAAGTTTCCTCAGAGGCTGTTGAGGAAACTTAAGGCACACGGAATAGGAGGAATTTTTTCCTGGGTAGAGGCATGGTTGACAAATAGGCAGCAGAGAGTTTGCATAAATGGGGAGAAATCAGAATGGGGGCACGTCACAAGCGGTGTCCCTCAGGGGTCAGTGTTGGGCCCGTTGTTGTTCACAATTTACATACACGACATAGATGAGGGAATAAATAGCGATATAAGCAAATTTGCTGATGACACCAAAATAGGCCGTCCAATTCAGTCTAATGAGGGCACTAGAGCACTCCAGGATAATTTGAATAGACTGATGCAATGGTCGGAGAAGTGGCAGATGCAGTTTAATATAGACAAATGCAAAGTTCTAAATGTTGGACAGGAAAATAACCATGTGCCATATAAACTAAATAATGTAGATCTTAATACTACTGATTGCGAAAAGGATTTAGGAGTTCTGGTTAGCAGTAATCTAAAACCAAGACAACAGTGCATTAGTGTTCGCAATAAAGCTAACAGAATTCTTGGCTTCATATCTAGAAGTATAAATAATAGAAGTTCTCAGGTTGTTCTTCAACTCTATATATCCTTGGTTAGGCCTCATTTAGACTATGCTGCTCAGTTCTGGTCACTGTATTACAGAATGGATATAAATGCTCTGGAAAACGTACAGAGGAGGATGACAAAGATGATCCCATGTATCAGAAATCTTCCCTATGAGGATAGACTGAGGGCCCTGAATCTGCACTCTCTCGAAAGATATAGAATTAGGGGAGATATGATCGAGGTGTATAAATGGAAAAACAGGAATAAATAAAGGGGATGTAAATAGCGTGCTGAAAATTTCCAGCCAAGACAGGACTCGCAGCAATGGTTTCAAGTTGGAAAAATTTAGATTCAGGAAGGATATGGGAAAGCACTGGTTTGGTAATAGAGTTGTGGATGAGTGGAACAAACTCCCGAGTACAGTTATTGAGGCTAAATCGTTGTGTAGTTTTAAAAATAGGTTAGATAAATACATGAGTGGGTGTGGGTGGGTGAGAGTTGGACCTGACTAGCTTGTGCTGCTGGGTCTGGTGCCGTGCTCCTTCCTTGAGTGGATGGGACCAGACTGGGTGGGTCATTGGTCTTATCTGGGGGGGGGACATGGATCTGCCCCGCATGGGTCAGTAGGCCTGTTGCAGTGTTCCTTCTTTCTTATGTTCTTATGTTCTTACCTAACCTAACCACTAGGAGGCATCTCAGAAAGTGAATTATTAATATTATTATTATAATCAATGGGGAAGCGCTAAACCCGTAGGATTATACAGCGCCTGTGGGGAGATGTGGAAGGTATTCAGGCTTAATTCGGGGAACCGGAGCACAGATCCAATTCCCTAGATCAAGAGGCCCTCACCAGCATCAAGGAACTTTCCTTGAGGGGTTAGAAAGTGAAAAATCACCGTGACACACGTAGGATTCACTCAGGGCACTATAAAATGTATAATTGCGCTGTTATTAACAATAAAGTTTATTTACCTATCATATTTATTCCAAAATTATATTAGACCTAAGATAAATAGCATAGAAGCGTAATAAAGACGCCGTCCCCTGGGCCTATCCGAACTCCAGTGATGGCTAAATTGCAAGTACTGCTGCAACAACATGCAAGGAACCTATAGTGACATAAAAACTGACGGTGACGACAACGAAATGGACTAAATATGACAAAAGAGGGACCGGCATTCAAGTACCAGACCTTCTGCCAGACGTGAACCAGACAGTAAGTAAGTAAGTAAGCTTATTCAGGTATACACAAATACAGTTACATAGAATTATCATACATAGCAGCATATGTGTAGAGAACCTAGGATAACCCAAAAAAGTCAGACAGAGTGACTTATTTCCATTGGGGTCCTTTTACCTTATTATTATAATATAAAGGTTATAAAATTTTCTTATTATTCTATAATGAAGATAACATATTATCATACTAAAAAGACTATCTACTACACAAGGGTCATTAAGACTATCTACTACACGAGGGTCATTAAGACTATCTACAATACGAGGGTCATTACTAGGAATAAGGTAAAATTTACACGTATGTTAGCTAAAAAATAGAAAATCATTCCCCTCCCTTTCTGTAGCTACATTCATTAGACACATTTTGGCACTCTTCTTGAACTGGTTCATGCTATGACTGGCTTTGACATGTGCGGGTAGTCTGTTCCATTCCTTTATTGCTGTACAATAAAAGGTGTTTGAAGCCTGGCCAATGACTGGGGGTACTACAAAGTTGTGCTCTCCCCCCCTAGTACTATGATTGCTTTGGTTCCCAACCTTGACAAAATTGACAGCAAGATATTCTGGACACTGTTTGTGAGCAATTTTATGAACATGATTTAGCTTCAGTTGTTTTACTCTGTCTTCCACATTCAGC